GGGGAGTGGCTGTTGGGCCCTCCTTGGCGCAGTGTCCAGGTTCTTGGCATCTCAAACAAAGAATTGAATGAGATACAGAGGTAAAGTGGTGAAAAAAAATTAGAAGAGACAGTACACTCCAAAGAATTAGGAGAAGTCTGAGCACAAAGAAAGGCTCCAGAGGTGGGCTCACAGGAGCCTGGGGGTTTTATCTTTTTTTTTTTATCTAGGATGGGCTGTTCCTCTCCAGTGGGGACCGCTTGATTGACACCTGTGATTGATAAGGGGGCATTACCTCACCCTCTGAGACTGCGCATGTCCCTTCGCAGAGGTCAGTCTGTTATAATGATATTAATGAATTACTGGGCATATGTATGATATTATAATGATGGTATAATGAGGCCAGAGTGAGATGGAGGTCGTGGTGGTCTTCTACCATGCAGGTGCGAGTGACCAGTCCAATTTAGTTATGTCCTCACAGTGGTTAATGGTTAGGGCAGATAAGGAGACATTTGGGAGGTCTCCAGGTGGTGCTCCCCATAGATTGTGTTGGCTGTGCAGGAATGCAGAGACCAATTACCGTTTCTAACTGCCTGCCTTATTTTTCATGCGAGACATAATCCCCATAAATCTCTGTGGGGAGTTGAGGGACGGGAGGTCTCTTCTTCCGTATCTGCTTCAAGCTGAGAAGAGGGGTTGAGCTGTCCCTATCTTCTGGGGATACACGAAAATCTCGCCCTATTTGTTCTTAAATAAAAAGAGGGGCTTCATATCTGCCTTGGTCGGGGTGCACTGGAAGCCTCACTGGGACATAATTTGTATCCTGACGGCCCCTAGATGAGAAAAGACAGATGTTAGTTAATAAATTAAAGGCGCTGGTTCCAGGAACAGGTCTGTGAAGTCTATCTTATTTTCACCCAGGGGTTAGGTATGGACTGGCCTGGAGGAGTGGTGGGCTACAATGATTTCAGTTAACAAGTGTTAAGTCACAGGCTTTTAGGTGGTTATCTGAAGCAGGGGTGAGAGACGTTCTGTGATTTAGGCTAGGAGCAATCTTTAGATTAGAATTTAGAAACTGATTAGAAGAGTGATTATGACCAGGGGCTAAGGAGCTAAGAAACTAGGGAAACGGAGACTTAAAATTGTCATATTGAGGGGACTTAAAATTTCTATAACGATGGAGGCTTAACACTTCTGTAGTGAGGGAGCTCTCCTGTATCACCATCATTTTGGGATGCTTTCTGTGTGCCAGGTATTGTGTTGAAAGTCTTTACATCCAATGTTCCCAACAACCCGAGAAGTGGTTCTGTTAGTACCCTCATTTTACTATTGAAGAAACTAGACTCAGGTTAATAACTTGTTCAAGATCACGCATTCAGTAAATGTCAGAGCTAGGACTTAGCATGTTTCCCCATGTATAACACACACCCTTTTTCAAAAAATTTGGGGTCTAAAAACTGGGTGCATCTTATACAGCGGTTGTAGATTTTTCTACTTGCATTTCCCGCAAGTGATGAGTTGTTGTATGAATTTTATGATGAATAAAACTTGAGTTCAATAACTTTATGTAATACATTTTTTTCAAATTTCAGGCCCAAAATTAAGGTGCGGCTTATACATGGGAGTGTCTTATACATGGGGAAATACGATTCTAGGTCTGACTCCAAAGCCCATATTTTTTTTTTTAAAGATTTTTTTTTTTAATTGGGGAATTGGGGAATGGGAACAGCGCTGGGGAATTGGGGGAAGGGGAACATACAAGTTGTTATCCTTTTGTTCTTCAGTCTAGTTGTGGAGGACGTTGCTTCACTGGCCCAAGTTGGCACCATCGTTGCGCTCTTCCCGGGTGAGGCAGATCAGTCTCTGGCTTCTGGACGACTGCTCACAGCGGCTGCTGGCCGCTCACGCTGGCTGCTGGCTACACGGTCGCCCATGGCAACTCACTGCAGCAGTGGCTGCAGCCTACTCCGTCGCGGGTGACTTACGGCAGCCCAGGTCCGGGTGGAGCTGTTGTTCAGCATCTTAGCTGTGGAGGGCAGTGTCACTGGCCCTCATATGTGGGATCCAAACCGCGGCTCTCTGGCGTCCCAAGCCAGTTCTTAACCATCGCGCCACGGTCGGCCCCCAAAGCCCATATTCTGAACCACCAAGCGAAACTATTATTTTAAAGACGACCAGGTCCTAAAGAATGATCTCTGTACCCACCTTTCTCCCAGGTTACAAACCAGCAGCTATTCCCGGGCCCCACGAACGCTCACACTTGTCCACCAGCCCTCCCTTCCGCCCGTCCTCCTCAAATTGCGCAGGCGCGCTCCCTCTCGGTGGAGCCTGCGCGGAGGCGGCGCTGGCAACCTGGCGTGGCTGTGGGAACGCTTCGCCGCTCCCATGCGCGTGCGCTGTGCTAGAGCCCCGGTTCAGGGAATTGACGATGGCGGCGGCCGATGGAACTTCGCAGGAACCAGCGATTTCAGATCAGCCAGCTGAGCTGACTGCCTCCGTGCGGGCGAGCATCGAGCGGAAGCGGCAGCGGGCACTGATGCTGCGCCAGGCCCGGCTGGCGGCCCGGCCCTACCCGACGACGGCAGTTGCGGCTACCGGAGGTTTGAGCCCTGGCGCTGCCTGCCCTTTGCTTCTCCTGGCGGGCCAGGTGCCACGTCCCGTGTGTGGCTTCGAGTCCCTTGGTGTCTACTCCTCCTGACTCCCAGCCCCGGGCATTCCTCACTGCACCTGGGCGGTCCAGCTACGGTCTTTAGCTTGGGGATTCTGGCGCCCTCGCCGTCTGGAGATGCCAGCTCGTGCCCGTCAGCGCCTCAGCTCTCCCTTTCTGTTCTTTTTCTGCAGCCTCCACCATTCCCAGAGGTGGTCCTTGTATAAAGCTTTTAGACTTGTAACTTATTTCACTAATCTGCACCTGCCCCCGCATTCATCCTCAAAGGGCATAGTCTGGATCCAGCAGTGCTTGCTAGTGCGAGGCACCAAGAGGAGCGAAGAGACAGTAGCTACCGCCTTCTTGGGGCTAACAGAGTAGCACCTGTTGTGCTTCATATGTTTCAGATTAGCCAGTTTGATTCTCGGAGCTAACCTGGAAAATAATTAGGGCAGGGTTTGGTATCCGTGTTAGTGAGGTGGTCATTGCGGACAAGAAAAGAGGTGTTTGCACAGGTTAATCTCATTAAGTGCACAGGCTAATCAGAGCTCAAACTCAGGTCATCTGACACTGGGTTCAGGGCCTTTCCTTGCCAGGTCATCTGACACTGGGTTCAGGGCCTTTCCTTGCCAGCAGCTGTCTCTGCTACACAAGGCATCTCTCTTACCCTTACAGCGGTTCTCAACCTGTGGGTCGTGACCCCCTTTGGGGGTCGAACGACCCTTTCACAGGGGTTGCCTGAGACCATCGGAAAACAAAAAGATATTTACATTACGATTCATAACAGTAGCAAAATTACAGTTATAGAGTAGCAACGAAAATAATTTTATGGTTGGGGGTCACCACAACATGAGGAACTGTATTAAGGGGTCGCGGCATTAGGAAGGTTGAGAACCGCTGGCTTAGGAAGAAAGGCTGTTATTGTCTGAATTTCATCTTCTTTATTAGGGCAGCCCTTTGCTGCGTGTCTGTCTGTCATGTATGTATGTCTCTCTTGTGTAATGCTCTACTGTGGTCAAGTAGTAATCTTCCTCAGGGTGCCTAAAATATAGTTTGGTTGACATGCAGGTCTTCAGGATTATCTCTATAACATGAAGTACGTGTTATAAAGCGAATCTCATCCTGTGTGAGTAGTTGAGCAAGTTTAAATCTGTGTCATCTATCCTTTTTCATCAGTCAGAAGTGAGGAAGAGTGAATCTGGGGCTGGCTGCATGTCTTGATATTAATGCTGACACTGAATATGCACATTCCATCCACCTTTTAATAGTTTTGGTCTCATCCTTATTGCTTTCTTGTGTGTGTTTTTTTAATTTTTTTATTTCTTTTTCAACTTGAGGTATTCTAAAGTCAGGACAAAAAGTTGTTCATTTGCATTGATTAATTAATATTCGTGATTCTATAAAGGATTCTATTGGGTTGTCAGAAAAGTCATGATGCAGTTTTGCAATGAAAAACATAGAAAAAATACGTCATGACTTTTCCGACAACCCAATAGATCTGTACAGATAGTCCCCAACTTACAGTGGTTCAACGTAACGATGGTGTGAAAGCTATACACATTCAGTAGAAACCATACTTTGAATTTTGACCTTTTCCTGGGCTAGTGATAGGTAGTACTATACTCTTGTGATGCTGGGCAATAACAGTGAGCCACAGCTCCCAGCTAGCCACGTGATCAAGTGGGTAAACAACTGATACTCTATAGTATTAAATGCATTTTCTTTTTTTAATGTTGTGAATATATATTTTAAAAATACTGTAGAAGAGAGATGTGGTTTAAAAAAATACAGTCATATACAGAAACAAAGTGTATTTGGATGGAAAAAAAATACCATGGGCATTCAAGAAGGGGGAATAGTGGAAAACTAACACATCATTAAATGCACTTTTGACTTACAAAATTTTCCATTTATTATAGGTTTATCTGGACGTAACCCCATTATAAATTGAGTATCTGTAAAAAACGGATGTAGAATGGGTGCAAAATAGAGCATAAACTAGTATTAAATTAAACTTCTGATCCTGGAAAGCAAGGTAGAATGAATATTCTATAAGATTTCTTAGGCAGTTACCCAAGAAGTGAACTGTGTTGCAGTATTGCATACAACCCCGCTGTGCTTTAAGAGTTAGGTAGGTGCTGAGATTTTCATCTTTGCAGTACTTTTATTTCAATGTACTGTACAATTTTTTATTTCCTGTGTGTACTCTGACATATGCCATGAAAAAGGTTGGGAAGAACTTGCTTAGAATGTGGTGCCAAACACTGGTGCTGAGGGCCTGGGGAAACAGCAAGGCATAGCAGCTGAGAAAAATTGGGCTTTGTTTTCGGCATGATTTAGTATTGTTCAGAATCCTGCTCAAGTTAACAGCCTTGACTACTCCAGCCTCCCCTCGTCTAAATTTTCATTGTGTGCACTCTTATTGGTCATTCCAATAAGAGTCATTCCAAATAGTCATTCCAATTATTTGCTACATTGTTCATGAAATCAATATCATTCTGGTATATTTATCCATTTCTATCCATCCAGTAGATATTCATGGAATGTTTAACTATCAGAATTACAGAGATAAAACAGTTTAATTGATGGATATAGAGAGGTGAACAGGCAATATAGTATAGTATGAGAATTGCTGGTAGCAATAGAAACAGGCTTGTTATAATCTAATCCCTTTATTTAATAGAGGAAGAAATTGAGGCTAGGACTTCTAGTACTATGTTGAATAAAAGTGAAAGTGGACATCTGTGTCTTGTTCCTGATCTTAAAGAAAAAGCTTTCAGCTATTGAGTATTATGTTAGCTGTGGGTTTGTCATATATGGCCTTTATTATGTTGAGGTATTTTCCCTCTATCCCCACTTTGCTGAGAGTTTTTATTATAAATGAGTGTTGGATTTTGTCAAATGCTTTTTCTGCATCTATTGATATGATCATATGATTTTTATCCTTCATTTTGTTTATGTAGTTTATCATGTTGTTTGTGAATATTGAACCAACCTTGCATGCCAGGAATAAATCCCACTTAATCATGGTGTGTGAACTTTTTAATGTACTGCTGAATTTGGTTTGTGAATATTTTGTTGAGGATTTTTGCATTTATGTTCATCGGGGATGTTGGCCTATAATTTTTTATTTGTTTGTATTGTCTCTGTTTTTGGTATCAGGGTAATGCTGGCCTTGTAAATGAGTTTGGGAGCCTTTCCTCCTTTTCAGTTTTTTTGGAATGTTTGGTGAAATTTACCTGTGAAGCCATTTGGTTCAGGACTTTTGTTTGGTGAGAGTTTTTTGATTACTGACTCGATTTTGTTAGCAGTTACTGGTCTGTTCAGATTTTCTGTTTCTTCCTGATTCAGCCTTGGAAGATTGTATGTTTCTAGCAATTCATCCATTTCTTCCAGTTTGTCCAATTTTTTGGCATATAGTTCTTCATAGTATTTTCTTATAATTCTTTGTATATGTGTGGTGTCGGTTGTCACATTCCTTTCATTTCTGATTTTATTTGTTTTGGCCCATTCTCTTTTCTTCTTGAGTCTGGCTAAAGGTTTATCAATTATGTTTATCTTTTCAAAAAATCATCTCTTGCTTTTGTTCATCTTTTCTATTGTTTTTTTAGACTCTATTTTTATTTCTGCTGATCTTTATTATTTCCTTCCTTCTCCACACTTTGGGCTTTGTTCTTTTTCTAATTCCTGTAGGTATAAGATTGTTTATTTGATATTTGTTTTGTTTCTTGAGGTAGGCCTGTATTGCTATAAATTTCCTTAGAACTGCTTTAGTGGTGTCCCATAGATTTGGGGTTGTGGTGTTTTCATTTGTCTCAAGGTATCTTTTGATTTTCTCCTTGATCTCATTGTTGACCCATTCATTGTTTGGTAGCATGTTATTTATCCTCCAGTGTTTGTTTTTCAGTTTTCTTCTTGTAATTGATTTCTAGTTTCATACAATTGTGATCAGAAAAGATGCTTGGTATAATTTCAATTTATTGAGACTTATTTTGTGGCCTAACGTAGTCTATCCTAGACAGTGTACCATGTGCACTTGAATATAGTATATTCTGCTGCTTTTTGGTAAAATATCCTAAAAATATCAATTAAGTTCATCTGATCCTATGTGTCATTTATTGTCACTGTTTCCTTGTTGGTGGGAATATAGTGATATTTTATTATGGTTTTAATTTGTATTTTTCCAGTGACTAATGATAACTTTTTCATGTGTTTACCAACTGTTTGGATATCTTCATTTGTGAAGCCCCTATTCAGGTCTTTTGCCTTTTATTTTTCAGTTGGGTAATTTGTCTTTCATTGATTTATAGGATTTCATTACATATTCTGGATGTGAGTCCTCTGTCAGATATGCATATTGCAGATAGCTTCTCCCAGTTTGCATCCTGCCTTTTCACTCTCCTAATGGTGTCTTTTGATGAATAGAAGTTCTTTCTTTTAATCAAGACCAATTTAGCAATTTTTTTCTCTAATGATTAGTACTTTAGGCCACTAAGAAAGTTTTGCCTATCTTAAGTTCATGAAGTTATTCTCCTGTGTTTTTTTTCTGGAAGCATTGTTGTTTCACATTCAAGATTATGATCCATTTAAATTTCTTTTGTGTGCATATTGTATGAGGTAGGGTTAAAGTTCCTTAATTGAAAAGACCATTTTTTCCCTTGCTGTTACGTAATGTCACTTTGTCATAAATCCCAGTGTCATTTACTGAAAAGATTATTATTATTATTATTTTTTTACCACAGAATTGCCTTGGAGGGTTTGTTGTAAATTAAATGACCAAATGTGTGTAGATCCATTTCAGGACTTTCTCCTAGTCCATTGATCTCTTTTTCTTTGTGTCGGTATCATACTATCTTAATTACTGAAGCTGTGTAGTAAATCTTTAAAACCTCAAACCTCCTTGTCAGCTTGCACCTCAACGCCCCCCTCTCCCCCTCCAGCTCCTGAGGTTTTGACTGGGATTACATTGAACAGATAAATAGAAAACTGAGATCTTTTCAATATTGAGGCTTCCAATCTGTACATGGTATATTTCTCCATGTTTTAGGTCTTTGATTTCTCTTAGTGGTGTTTTCAGTGTAGAGGTTTTATATATCTCTTCCTAGGTGTTATTTCTTAATTCTAATTGTATATTCTGGTGGATATTCTACATACATAATCACATTTCTGTGAATAAAGACTGTTTTACTTATTTCCAGCCTTGATGCTTGTTTTGTTTTCTTGCCATATTGCACTAGCTGGACCTTCAGTATAATGTTGAATGGATGTGTAATACTGGATGTTCCTTGTCTTGTTTGATATACAGAGGGTGCCAAAAAATGTATACACATTTTAAGAAAGGAAAACTGTATTAAAATTGTAATACTCAATATATACCAATAACAAAAGATGAATATAAGTCACGTTTGACTTCTGCAATTGCAAGAGGTGCTCAAAGTAGTTGCCATCAGCGTCCAGACACTTCTGATTATGGTGAACTACTGCTCGAGCAATGTTGACCAAAGTGTCCACTTGTATACATTTTTTTAGCACCCTCAGTATATTAAATTTAATGCAAGTTCATGTTTATACACAAGGGAACATATGGGCTTACCTCGTTCAGTTGTTGACCACTTGTACTTATTTTTTGTAGGCATGGCTAATGTAAAAGCAGCCCCAAAGACAGTTGACACAGGAGGAGGCTTCTTTCTGGAAGAGGAAGAAGAAGAAGAGCATACAATTGGAAAAGTTGTTCATCAACCAGGTAAAGTGTATTTTCAGAAAATAGGTATCTAGGTTGTTCATTTTGAGTAATATACACAATTCTTTGCAAATTGATGTTAAATAAGCTGCGGGCCGGCTGAATGGCTCCGTTGGTTAAGAGCTCACTCAAGAGTGTGAGCTCTGAGCAACAGCGGTTCGAGTCCCGGCCAGAGCTGAGCAGCCGCTGAGCTGCCAACAGGTGGCAGGAGGGCTCAGCTAAAAAAAAAAAAATTTGCCACAATTATTTTAGTCAGTGAGCAGGTTAGCCTTATAAGAGTGATCAAGTTTGGCAGTTCTGCTGGTAGGTTAAAAATTAAACAGATTTGGCAATGATGAATTTAACTTGTGTTTTGTGTATAGTAATTCCCTCACTTAATGCTGGCATTAAAAAAAAGAGAATATAACTATTATCTAAGGTTAAAGTTTTGGTAAATCACTTACACACACATATATATACATATCTCTTCTGGGTGAGGATACTTTCACACTCTTTGAAAAAGCTAAAGTTTTATTTGATCATAAGTTTGATAGCCAATAGTGTAATATAACAGCTTAAAACCTATTCCAGTTTTAGCTGCAGCAACAGAAGTGTGTGTTTATCAAGGTAGGCGATATTCCTGTTCTGTGTGTGTCTATACTAATTTTGTCAGACCTTCATATATCAGCAATAAGTAGGTACATGAAGGGGGAGAAGGAAGGTTCTTACTGGAGTAGACTGCCAGTTTCCGGATGGTAACTGTAAGAGGTGTGATGGAGTTGAAAAATTATGTATATTTAAAATTTTCCATAATATATTTTGTATTATAAATACATAAAAAATATGTAAAATTCTTTATAAAGAATTTTTAAAATTACGAAAATGTCTGCACATTTTATGGCCTTTGATTAATAATGCTATACAGTAGCCTCCTAATTGATATTCCTGAGTGCAATTTCTCTCCATTCTGATACATTCAAGTAATCAACTTTTTGAAGTTATCATTTTGACTCTATTGTTAGTTTTTCCTTTTGTCTATAGCTATGCCTCTGTAATATTTTATAAAGAAGAATGATTTACTTTTTTTCTTAGTGTTTGGAAATTAGTAGGACTAAGGGGTGGTGGAATAGTAACTGACATTATTGTGTTGGAAATAGATAAGGGAAGGCAGTGATAGGAATACGTTGAACAAATTGTGAACAAATGACAACTCCCCCTTATTTCCTTAATTCCTCTTAAATTTTTTTAGATAAATGTAAGATGACTTAAGGTTTTATTTTTGTCTTACGTAAATATATTTGTGTTAGGCATAAAATACATGTTGAGAAGCTGATAAGATAGAGGAAAATGTATTCTAGTCCTAAAAAAGGAAACTTAAAAGATTAATGTTCTTTTCTTTAGGACCTGTTATGGAATTCGATTATGCAATATGTGAAGAATGTGGTAGAGAATTTATGGATTCTTATCTTATGGACCACTTTGATTTGGCAACTTGTGATAACTGCAGGTACTTATTTCAGACTGCTCTCAATTGCTAAAGTTAAATATTTACATATAGGTTTAGAAGAAAACAATAATTCGATCCATTTGGATTTAATATTCTTTTAGTAATCATGATTTTTATTTTGAGAGTCTCCTAACATTTCTATTGTTTTCATTTTGCCAAAGAAATATGGGAAGGCTGTGCTTATCAAAGTTACAGTATTCCACATGAATAAGAATGGCCCAGGTTCCGCCATAGAGATGTCCTTTCCCTTCTGCTGCCCGCGGGGTTTCTTTACCATTGCTCAGTGGCAGGATCCTAACCCGTCTCTTCCCTCAGCCCCTGAGGATCCTCCTGTTTCGTATTTGTCTCAGTGTATGTTGACACCTTGGTCAGAGGACGGGGGCCTTCAGTGAGAGGAGGGTAGGAAACCTTCTCCAGCCATTCTCCTGGGACTCTCAGAGCACCTCTTTCCATTTAGTTTTTACTTTCCTGAACAGGCAGGGAAGAGAAGAGATGAGGAAAAATCACACTCTTTTGCCATTCATTTTCTTCTTCTCCTAGACTCATCCTCTTTTTACGTCCCCCCAGAATAATCTTTCTCGCTCCATGTGGTTCTCCTGTCCCTGCTATTTACCTCAGCCATGTCCTGTGTGGGTATCTTTCACACCTTACGATCCTACCTTGGAGTCTTACTCAGCCTTTTTATCTGCTGTTTCCACTTCTTAGACCTACAGCCCTACTCCTCACCAGCCTGGAGGACCTGCCTTTTCAGCAGCCCTGCTGCAGACATTGGGAGCCATCACCACTGACTTGTTGAGTAGAATCCTTGGAAGATAGCGAGAATTGGAGATATTCCTGCTCTCATGATCACATCTGTGACTGGAAGTGTTCTGGCACCTGTTTGCATTATTAACTATTCCCATTGGCACACAGTGTCACTAATGCACACAGTGGTTCAGGTCCACAGTATTTTCGCTCTCCTTAAAGTATAGATAGCTTTGGAAACTGAGTTTGCACATATGATCTGATTTCCATGAGAAAAGGAAAGCAACTGATATATCAATTTAAAGAAAGTTGTGTGGAAGTTTGGAAAAAGTACACTTTTTAAATTTAAACATAATTAGGAACACAGTGCTCCATTCTGTTTCCTTTCAACATCTTCGAAGGTTATAATTTTAGTACAGTGTAGCTTACCTGTCCCCTCCTTTAGTTGATACTTCCAAATTATTTAGCTTTCTTAAAGGTATTCCCAATTTTAAGTCTCTCTTCCCTGACCTATACCTCCTCTTCAGTGTTTACCATTTCAGTCAAACCAGCTTCATTCCTTGGCTGTTTCTCCACTATCCCATGTTTAATTCCAAATCCATTTGGCTCTATGTTCAAACCATATCCTGAATCCACCCACTTCTCATCCTCTCTTCCACTGTTAGCTTAGACTAGGCCACCATCAGCGCTTGCCTGGACCACCACAGCAGTAATCTTGTAACGGGTCTCTTGCCCCCACTTTTGCACCATTAGTCTCTTCTCCATACAGCATTTGACTCAAAACTCTTTAGTGGTTTCTAAACCATTTAGAGTCAAGGTGTCTTCACCATTTTTTACAAGGCCCCTGCCTATCTCTGACTTTTGTCACTCTTCACCATCACTTAAGCATTCTAGTTACCCCGGCCCTGTTGCTGTGAGCTCCAGTTGCAAAGCACACTGCCGTCCTGGAGGCTTTGCATTCGCTCCCCTCTCTGCTGGTAATGATTGTTCTTTCACTAGCTGCTCAGAATGTTCTCTAGCTTCTTAAGGGCCCTACTCACATATCCCCTTACCAAGTGGCCTTTTTTTGATTACCCAGTCTATCTGAAAATTTCTATTCCTCTACCATACTTTATATTTCTTTATAGCACTTTTGTCTGTCATCATGTTTGGTTACTGACTGTCTTCTCCTTTACTGGAATGTAAGCTTCATGCAAACAAGGCCTTATTTTATTCTTTGCTGTATTCCTCATGTCTCGAACAATACCTGGCATGTAAATGGAGAATAAATGAATGATAAAAACTATGTAATTGACTATGTCTCCATTTTTACCTTGGCTTTGGAAAAGCTCAGAGCCAACTGGAACCCGTGCTGGGGCAGTTGGACTTTGCATGTGCATATTCCTTGTATCTTGCCCATCCTGACTTTGTGCTTTACTTTTTACTTGCTTACTTATTGAGTCTTAGTTTTCATTTATATTTGCCATACTCTTGTAAGTCATTTCAAATCCTTTGTGGAGTTGCTGCTAATATAGCTTCTCAGAATTAGTAGAAGTAGTTTTCTGTTAGAATTTTTATGCTGCTAATTTGATCATGAGAATTGCAGGAGAAATTATTTTACAAATTCCTTTTGCAATGCATGCCCCGAGGTTGTTGGGCTATTTGAAAACTTAGTTTATTAAAAATAACTAACTTATATAATGGACTTAATTTTTTTCAGAGATGCTGATGATAAACATAAGCTTATAACTAAAACAGAAGCAAAACAAGAATACCTTCTGAAAGACTGTGATTTAGAAAAAAGAGAACCAGCTCTTAAGTTTATTGTGAAGAAGAATCCTCATCATTCACAATGGGGTGATATGAAACTCTACTTAAAATTACAGGTCGCCAATAAGTTATACTTAGTCATTTTAAACCCTGGGGCAGGTGAAGCTTTAACAATAAACTAGTTATAATTAGTTTTGTTCTTGCTTACAGAGAGGTAAAAAGATCCTTTGCATTTTGTGGCTCTGTATGAGTCACAGTCATACAAATGACATTTAATAACATGTTTTTTTTTTTTTAAGATTTTTTTTATTGGGAATTGAGGGAGGGGAACAGTGCTGGGGTATCGGGGGAAGGGGAACAGACAAACTGCTGTCCTTTTGTTCTTCAGTCTAGTAGTGGAGGATGTTGCTTCACTGGCACATGTTGGTATTATCATTGTGCTCTTCCTGGGTGAGGCAGATCAGTCGCCGGCCTCTGGACGGCCGTTCACGGCGGTTCTTGGCAGCTCACACCGGCTGCTGGCCACTCACGCTGGCTACTGGCCACACACAGTAGCTAATGGCAACCTACTGCAGCAGGGGCTGCAGCCTACGCCATCGCCGGCGACTCACAGCAGCCCAGTTCCAGGTCGAGCTGTTGTTCAGCATCTTAGCTGTAGAGGGCAGTGTCACTGGCTCTTATGTGGGATTCGAACCGGGGCCCTGCTGCTCAGAGCTGGCGTTCCAAGCCAGCTCTTAACCAACGTGCCACTTGGCCGGCCCCAATAACATGTTTTCTTATTTTGCTTTTTGGTGTGGCACTTTGGAGTAAATATATTACTGTTGGGTGATACTAGGAGTATGGCTAGGAAACTGAAAAAGCTCGGAGTAAGAGTCAGACTGCGTTTTCCTGCCCATGACCCTCACCCCCGGGGCTGCTATAGTGCCCAGACTGGGTGCCTTGAGCCACCAGCAGCTTCCTGAATCTACCCCAGAATGGTACAAATACAATATTCTTTTTGTGCCATTATATAAAAAATATCGCGAGGCATTGCTTTAGAGCAATTTCAGTTAGAATATCCTAGAAAATCCTAGTATCCGCAAATAAAATTAAGAAACCCCGTTGCAAAACCAAATATATACTGAATTTCATTAAACATAAGACACTATTGATCACCATTATTTTATGTGCCATTAAAAATGGAAAAGGGCTAATTAAACTGACCCAATGCTTCCTTACCACTTGATGCTTTTATATATACTGAAATGGTGCCATTAGACTTACTATAGTTTTTTTGCTATATATCATGCTTGTGCAAACATAAAAAGGAAAATGCAAGTACAACAGATGAAGGTATTCTTAAACTTCTTTGTACTTGGAGTCAAATTCTTCTGAACACTTTTGACTCAGAGTTGTAAAGTACCAATAAGCACATTGGGATGCAGCATTTTCAGAGATGTTAAATTGTGGAAAATGTGATATTTTAGAACTTTGGAAATAAGAATATATCATTTTATTATGTTAAGAAATTTGAGTTTGGCTACATTGATATTTCAGTCTCCTTAATGTATTGGGAGAGCTATCCTGAGCACAATTCTTTGTATATTATTCTCCTAAATGTAAATAAATTCTATAAAGAGTAAAGACATATAATCCAAAGTTTTAAAACTAGAATAAAGACTTTTTAGGTCATTCAGCCACTGAAGTTTTTCAAAAATGCATATTCTAAGGATCAGAAGTTAGTCAAGTAGATAGAAACCATCAGGAGGAGAGAAGAGTAATAGTGATTGATTTGCTATAGTGGGAGAATTTGGAAGATTACCTCACACTTAGAGCTGATGTGACTAATTGGTCAGTAAATTTTGGGGGTGATCCTGCCAAAACTCATCAGACCACCTACATGTACTTCTGTTGATTCATGTGAAAAAGCTGAATGAATTAGAAACAATTATGGTCAGAGGACTTTTCTATTTATACTTGAATGTAACATACATTACTGAGGGTTTCATAGGTGTAGATAGAGCTATTAATAGAGTTTTTTATCAATATTTAAAATCTTAAATTTCAAATAAATATATATAAAATTACACTTGAGTTAGATCATTCTTTGGTGCATATGGGTTTAATAATTAATTTTATAATATTTTACAATTCTGAATCACAACTAATTTAAATATGGATTCTGTGTTGTAGATTGTCAGGAGGGCTCTTGAAGTTTGGGGTAGCCAGGAAGCATTAGAAGCAGCTAAGGAAGTCCGACAGAAAAACCGAGAAAAAATGAAACAGAAGAAGTTTGATAAAAAAGTAAAAGGTAAGTGGCTACATTTATATCATAAAGGATTGTGTTTAACTGCTTTGCAAAAAACCTTTAGCTAAGTTCACAGTAGATTGGGATGCGTTTTGTCATAGATAGAAGAAAAGAGACTTAAAGTTTGCCCTCAGTGGGTTGGTGTTCTAGGCTCTCAGGCTAAACCTCACAGTACTGCAATTCTGAAAAGCACGTAATCTCTCATCTTAATGTGAGTCATGGTTTTATACAGGAGCAGTAGTAGGATCAGGGATGTAGCCCTGGTCAAAGATGTGGCCTCAGTTTAATCTTAAATATGACCAGGGTTATAAAAAGCAAAAATATCCACCAGCAAACCTCTGATTGCTTAAAATGAAAAAATCATGGCTAAGTCTTAGTCATCGAATTTAGCAGCTAGGAGGAAGCTTCTAATGTAAGCCAGTCTAATCACTTTTATTTTAGATATGAATAAAAGACTTATAAAGTTAGAGTGAGCTATTACATAGATAATTATTAGAGAGTTGGGACTGGAACCAGGCTTGCATGACTGAAAGTCTGCACTGGTACATTCATTCCTCTGTCCATACATTTGTCTATCCATGTGGCTCTCCATTCTCTTGTCCATCTATCTCTATTTGTCCATGCATCCACACACATATGCATATGTGTGCAAATCTTTCTGTTCATTCATCCATCTATCCATCCATGCATCCAATAATAAGTAAGTGTGACCTGTGTTCCAGACACTGTTCTAACAACTGTTGGAGTCACAGTTCATCAGAAGAGATAGATTAGTAAACTTAAAATCATAACAGAGTGTGATAAGTACTATAATAATGATGAACATAGAGAAAGCGCTGCTTGCTGTATCACAGAATCTCTAAAATGAGTCTTGAAAAGTGGGCATAAATATTCTTCATACAGTGATTGTAGAGTCCCAATGTGCTGTAAAGTGTATAGAGATAGCACGTATTTTATGTGTATACAGGATTATACATACACTAAATTGATCCATTTAAAATGAGTCTCTTAGCCATAATAAATAATGTTGCTTATGTTTTTAGAATTTAGAAGGGGTTTTGGAGGGTGAATGAAGATAGCTCAGATGTCTTAAAAACAAACAAAATAATTGAATGTAAGCCTGCCTTGTTCTTATTGTGAAGGGATTTCCCCCCCTTTTCATCACAGGAGTAATTCACTTGCCAGGCAGAAAAGTTAGAAAACTACAAAGAACTTCTTTCCCATGATTGTTACTACCCAGAGGCAATCATTAGTAACATTTTAATGCCAGTTTTTCCAGTTCTTTTCTATGCATAGATACTTTAAAAATATTTTTTTATAAAAATGAAAACAGTTTGAAGTTTATCAAAAGTTTATCAAGACAACCCCATTATAAACATCCTGATATACATGCTTATATAGATTATAGTTAAGATACCAATCCCAGAATCGGAGGGTAAGCACACTTTTATGGCATTGTAGAGAGGTTTCCTACAGTCAACTATGCCATAGAAGAGCTTCCTCAAATTAGCTGCTGCTGTACGACAGTCTCAAAAATACCTGCAAGGACCAATTGAGAGGATTTGGAAAGACTTCTTTTGAATTTGGTCCTTTAGTCTTTTCGAGGTTCTATCATATCCCTTTTCACTCTTCCAAGAAAAGCCTTGAAGGATAAAGTAACAAAAGGCATCTTAAGGGATATGAAAGAGGAGGGCATATTTATAAACTAATAACATGTTTAAGGTTTTTGTTAACCTGTTATCTGAATCAACTCAATTCTTCCCACTCTTCTGTCTCCTTAAACCCCTTTCCTGATGGTATTTTTTTTTTTTAAGACTTTATTGGGGAATTGGGGGAGGGGAACAGACAAGTTGCTGTCCTTTTGTTCTTCAGTCCAGTTGTGGAGGATGTCGCTTCACTGGCCAATGTTGGTGTTATCATTGCGCTCTTCTGGGTGAGGCCGTCGCTCGCCGGCCATTGGACGGCTGCTCACGGCAGCTCACGGCAGCCCAGCTCCAGGTCGAGATGTTGTTCACCCTCTTAGCTGTAGAGGGCGCAGCATCACTGGCCCTCATGTGGGATCCAAACTGGGGCCCTGCTGCTCAGAGCTGGCATCCCAAGCCAACTCCTAACCAATGCGCCACTCGGCCTGCCCTCCTGAGGGTATTTTAGTGTAGACAATAATATATGGATAAAAGGAATTAGAAATTTGTACCTGCAAAGTGATGAAATATGTGAAAAAGGAGGACTATATGTAATATTTTTCTTAGATATTATTTCTGTAGCTTGGTCAAAATGTCATCTAAAGGTGACTAAATTTTTAATAATTTGACAATTAAAGATATGACATCTGTTTGATTTCATTGTTTTTTCCTATAAAAATTCTATTAAGATAATCATATAAATTAAATATTAGTATGAACAGAGCATTTCTTTTATGATTTGAACCATTTTCATAGGTATTTTTTAAAAGAAGTATAAACTCAAATATAATTGGGTGTTTTTCTTACATTAAATTGCTGTATTAATCACCAGATAAACTACTATGGATTTTCCTCATTCTTGAAGAGTTTGAATTGATCCTGAATTATTTCTTTCAACTCTTATGACTGGTTTCTTTAATTCAGTTCATTTCTTGTTTGGATGAAGAATGTCTTTTATGGAAATTTTTCCAAGTGATTACATGAGTGGTATATTTTCCAAGTCCCTACAAATCTAAGAATGTTTTTTCAGTTTCTTTTGCATATGAAAACTTAAGTTCTCTCTCAATTGTATAAATATTACTCCCTTGTCTCCTGGTGTTTAATGTGCAGAGGTCAATGTGACGCCTTCTTTAATTATGGCTTCTTCTTGTTGATTTACTTTAGAAGTTGGTGGATATATTTCTGTCCTGAGTAGGCCACAAAGGGCTGAGTGGAATACACACTCTAGAGCAGCGGTTCTCAACCTGTGGGTTGCGACCCCTTTGGGGGTCGAATGACCCTTTCACTGGGGTCGCCGGGTACTCGTATGTGGGCGTATCTGCATGTGGGCCTGGAGACAGAGGAGCGGTGTCTCGGTTCCTAAGACCATCGAAAATGTGTCTTCCGATGGTCTTAGGCGACCCCTGTGAAAGGTTGAGAACTGCTGCTCTAGAGATTAGAAACCAGGAGCTTACTATGCAGCTTTCTCAGACGGCTCAGAACAGAGAGGACTAGATGCAAGTCTAAAAGCTTTTTAGTAGAAAAGAAATTGGAACCTGTTCCTCTTGGTCTTCTGATTTTGATCCACAAAGCTGACATAAAATTTACTTCTTTATGGAAAGGTAAGAGATTACATTTACCTGTGTTTAGATTATGATCTGTGTTAGCAGTTTGAGAAATAATTGATCTTACTACAGAAGAAAATTAAAAGTATAAATAGTATAAGCTACATATAGACAAGGTGAAAGACAAAGAATTTTGTCAGCAGATTCAAATTGTTAATAGATTTTAGATCCAAAGAGGCAGAAGTAGAACTGATGGCATCACAGCTTCTCAGTTTAAGTGGACTTCAAAAAATGCAGTATGTTTTGGCCTTGATATTGGATGGGAACTTTCAGTTGGTGCACATACACAGAACATTTTGGGTTTGCATGCTTCCTTTTCACAACTAAGGTGGAGGTAAGGCTTTTCTTTAACAAATTATACTCAGCTTTCTCTTATTTAGTACTGGTAGAGGTTAGCCTTCTAAAACAAAGGCATATTAATCTTTGCTTTTTGTTACTATGCACTTTCCCCCCAAAAGAGGTGGGGAAGAAAATCTCATTTGGGAGCCCCTTCTTAGTTTGTGGACTTCTACGTGCTGGGCCTGTGGTTATATGTAATTTATGGCTGTTTTCGGACTTCTCTCGGGAAAGTGAAGGACATTCCCTGTTACTCTGCTTGTTTATGGAGGACAAAACAAGGTCAAAGCTTCATGTGTTGTTGTGTCATTTCCTTGTGATTTTTTTTCTCTAGTTAATAAGGGGCACCCTATATCAAAACTTCCTGCCCTTCCATCAGGTTTTTAAAAGTCTTTGGTCTCCCTCAGCTAGTTCTTATATAAGTTTACCTCATAAGCAACATTGGGCTTCTTTGAATACAAGTTGCCTCTTGCAAAATTAAGATATCAGGCCAAATAAAATGAAAGGTTAAGAGTGCTATAAATTTTTCACTGCAACAAGGATTTAGGGGAAAACTTCTTTGGGTAAAGAAGTATAATCAGTCCCTGAAGATATCAGTAGCAAGACTGAACATTTTATGAACATTTTAATAAATTTCCAGGTGAGGTAGTCCATAGCTTTCTGTGTTGTGAAATTCTAGGCCAGTGGGACTAGAAGTAACATGGTAAAGCCTGGTTTTCTTTCCCAGCTTCACTTAGGCTTCAGTGCCACTAGGCACATCCCCTCCCGCCCCACCTCCAAGGTTCCCTCAGCTCCCAAGGCCTGTCAGATCTTTGCCCACGCTTCTCAAGTGTCTGACCTTTCTGCTGTCCTCTTCTCATTCTCAGCAGTAGATAGTTGATCTCTACTTTCCAAAGTTTTAAGTTGCTTAAATGAATGTGAAAAACGTATTAATCTTGATTTAAACAAATTTTTATTTCACCAGATTTGACAGTTTGTCACATACGCTTTTTTTCTCTCACACGTATTTTGCTGAACTATTTACCTTCAGACATCGTGATTCTCATTCAGTACTTCAGCATGTTATCTCCTAAAAACAGTGACATTCTTCTACATAATTAAAAAACGGTGATCACTCTCAATACATTTAACAATATAAGCTATTATCTAGTATATATCTATAGCCTTCCCCAGTTGTTCCAGTGTTTTTTCTAATAGTTTTGTTGTTGGATCCAGGGGCCAAGCAAGGATGATGCATATCTATACTCTTAGTTCCTCAGCCTTGGTTTTTTTCATGACATTGACATTTTTACGAGTCTAAGCCACCTGTTCTATGGAGTGTCCCTTCATTTGGATTAGCAGCAGCTTGTTTGCTCACAATTAGATTCAGGTCAAACATTTTTGGTAGGAATACTTTCTAGGTGATGTGTTGAGTGAGTCATATCAGGAGACATATCAGTTCTCCTCTAAGAGTGATGTCTAGTTTGATTGCTTGCTTAAGGCAGTGTCAGCCAGATTTCTCCATCATAAAAGTACCCTTTTCCTTTTGTAATTAATACGAAACCTGTGGGGTGACTCTGACACTACATGAACACCTCATTCCGCTGTTTCACTCAGTTGTTTAGTACACAGGGATGCTTCTTGCCTGACTTGGTTATTAGGGAGGGTATAATGGTGATTTTCTATTCTTGATATTCTTTTATAATTATTTGGCTTCTTTTGGAAAGAAGAGCTTTTGTAGTACCGTTTGGATTCATGGATTCTTATTTTCCAATTAGTGTTCCAGTCCATTCCTATCATTATTCATTTTGATGCTCATATTGTCCCAAATTTGGCCAGTGGAAGCCCCTTCATGCTAGCTTTTGTCTTTTTATTTGTAAATAATTTCATACTTACATAAAATTGCATGAATAGAAAGGACACCTGTATGCTTTACCCAGATTTACCTATTGTTAACACTTTATGCCATTTGTATCATTTGCATTCTTTATACACACATTTTTTCCTGTACCATTTAACAGTAGGTTGTATATATCATCACCCTTTACCCCTAAATACTAGTGTGTATTTCCTAATAGGAATGATCTACAAAATCAAAGTGTAATGCTGGTATTTTTATCTAATGTCATCCATATTCTGGTTTTGTTAGCTGACCCAATAATGTCCTGTATGATTTTTTAGCCAAGTACAGAACCCAGTCTAGGATCAGATATGGCTTTAGGTACTAAGTCTTTCTACATTTTTTTATTCTAGACTATTCCGAACACAGCCTTTATCTTTTGTGACACTGACACTTCTGAAGTAGTCTCTTCCCTTCCTCTACCCTGATATGCTGAAGTATGTTGTTCATTTGGGGCTTTTCTGATTTTTCCTGATGGTTAGATGCAGGTTATGTGTCAGGCCGGGGGTAGCATACAAATGATGTGTCTTTCTCAGTGCATCAGTCACATCTGGAAGCGTATGATGTCCATCTGCCCTCAGTGGTGATTTTATTTTTGATAAGCAAAAAAAAATTCTAAGACCATGCAAATATCCTGCTTCTCCTTAACACTTACCTTTAGTATTTAGCATCCATTCATTGATGGTTCCTGCCTGAACCAGTCTTGAGTATGATGGTTACAAAAATTTTCTAACTTCAGCATCCTCTCTGCATTTAACCAGTTGGAAGCCAGCATTCTACAGCATCCTTTCCCCCATTTGTTTATTTATTATTGGCATGGATTCATTAATTCCTATTCTTCTAAGCGTTATTGGTTCATTTCTGTCCCTAATTTTCTTGGTACTCAAATAGTCTCAGGTTTGGGCCAATGGGAGTATCTTCAGGCCAGCTCCTGTGTCCTTTTCACATGTCTTTATCAGTTGTTAAGTACTTTCTGCTTTCCACACAAAACACATGGATATTTGTCTGCCTATATAGAGAGGGTGCCAAAAAAATGTATACACATTTTAAGAAAGGAAAACTGCATTAAAATTGTAATAATATATACCGGTAACAAAAGATGAATACAAGTCACGTTTGACTTCTGCAGTTACAAGAGGTACTCAAAGTGGTTACCATCAGCGTCCAGACACTTGATTACAGCGAACTACTGCTTGAGCAATGCTTATCAGAGTGTCCACTTCTATGTTTTGGCATCCTTGGTATATAAAAAATTAAAACCTTGAGTTCATACCGATATCCAGTACAATCCAAATTTTTAGTGTTCATTCTAGTTTTCTCTCTTATTTGTAACTCCCTTCTCTGACAACGAAAAACCCGATTCCAATTATCCTTAATAGTTAATGCCCCTTTATACACCTCATTTCCCATCACTGCTGTTGCCGCCTCTATAGGGAGACTCTCCTTACCTTTCTTGGCTCCCCCAACCCACTATGGACGCCTGCTTTACTTGCTCCACTTAGTAATGGCTTTAGGACTCCATTATTCAGGAATCTTCCTGTCATTTGAAAGCATGAGGCATCTGTGCAGTTCTGGTTATAATTTTATTACTTTTTTAATTTAGAATATGTCCTAAGGTAAAATAATAAAAGGATAGAGAGCATTTCAGATATGTCTAGAAAAATTAGGCTTCTTCAGAATATGAGATAACAGGAATAAAGATTAGAGTTTGGATGAACATGGTTTTCCCCCCTAGTTTGGAAACTATGTCTTGAGGTGTCTGCATTGAAGCTTGAAAATAAGTCTCAGATAAAGGCCTTTTCATACCAGAGGTATGAAAAGGCAGCATACGTTTGTGAGGATTAAATGTGTTTGTAAAGTGCTTAGAGCCGTCAATGCCTGCCACATAGCCCTGTATATTTGCTTATCCTCATAATAAAAGCCGAAAATACAAAGATTCAAGTAGTATTTTGATATTTATCATAGATCTAAAGTGGAGTAAAGAAAATGTGTGATTACTTGGTGTACGTTGATATTTATGGTTGGTATAAAAGATAACTATCATACTCTTCCTTAGGTGATGCTGTTGTCAAAGACAGTGCTGGGCTTGACATGATTGGTCAGATTAGAAAAAAATGTAAACAGTTAGCGTTGCTTTTTATTCATTAAACTAGAAACTGAAGTTATTAACTTGTTAATTTCCAATTAACACTAAGCATTTGGTTTCTTCAGGTAATATGCCATGTGATTTTTTAAAATGTGATTGACTTAGTTGCATTTCAAAGCATCCCATGTAGCTCTTTTCTTGTAAAAGGGCATTTTAACACATTGTGGACCGGACACAGATTTGCATCTATATATTTAAATGCCCTGTCCTCAATTTAACATGACATAGTGGGACAAGTTCTAAAAATTGGAACAGATGACCTGGGTTTACATGCTGTCTTTGCTCAGTTTCCGTACAGGCAAAAATACTATGATTCTTTCTAGCTTTTAATAGTCTGTGATCCTTAAGTTGTACTTTGTAATAATTAGTAGCAATTTCTCACCTAAAATGTTGCTCGTTTTATAGGATAGTTTAATAGGCTTAAGGTCAGTTGCATAAGCATTTCTCTAAGATGAAACATGAGCAGAGTATCAGAGTTCTTGGCTTCCTAGTTTTCTTGCAAGCAAAGCTTGACTTGCCTCTTACAGAAGTTGTATAATTCCTGACTTATATGGAACTTAAAAACGCTCCTTATCCTCAATCATCCCAGCTTCTATCATCGGTTGCTTGAACAAACCCTATTCTTGTACTCATCTTTTTGTTTTTCTGCTCTCGAACCCACACACCCCATTTCTGAATCTCCCATTTCACACTACTTCAATGACATGATTTCACAGGCTAACCTAGTGAGGTAAGTTTGTATAATCAATTTTGATTTGTTAAAAAGTTAAGGTAAGCCACATTTGGTTTAAATATACACACCCTACCCACCCTCCCCCCTGAAGGATTTTTCAGGATTCAGCTGAATAGCACCACTGAAAAGCTGCCTTTTTTGCTTCTTAGAATTACGGCGAGCAGTAAGAAGCAGTATATGGAAAAGGGAAACAGTTGCTCACCAACATGAGTATGGACCCGAAGAAACCCTAGAAGATGACATGTACCGGAAGACTTGTACTGTGTGCGGCCATGAACTGACATATGAGAAGATGTGATTTTTAGTTAAGTAATCTGTTTTAGACTTTTATATTTAGATAAAGGAAATTTAGATTGGTCTTGTTCGAAATTCACCAAAAAAAAAAAAAAGTCTTCATAGATGAATGAAATACTTGTATAAATAATGCTTGGGTAATATGTTATGGCTTAAGAGCAAGTTTCAGTTAAGGTCCAGCAGGTCTGGTTGTGGGCAAAATATTGGGTCTGTGATGGTTTTTTCTGCAGCAGGGGTGGGAGCTGAGTGGTACAGTAGGTTTGAAAGTGTTAGAGTTAAAATTGAGAAATAAGAAACCAAGGCAAACCCTAGAGTGGGGTAGGAGGAAGACCTTTAAGTAAAGGCAAAAGCTGGCTCAGCTGGATTCTTATCCCAAGAAACAATAGCGATGGTGGTGGACCCTGCACCCCAGAGGCTGAGCCAGGAATCCTAGACTATTTCTGTCTCCAAGTCAGGGAGCAGGGTGCTACTGCTGGGGCAAGTCCTGACCAACAGCAGGAATAAACAATGAGTGTGGGAGTCTGCTCATATTTTCTGCATCTAGGGTTTACTACTATAGAACCTAATGTTAGTGTCTAGATAGCCCTTTTCTAATCTGGATTAAAATGAAAAAAACAGCTATATTGTTTGTTGATCAAAGAAGGTACTTATAGTAAGTTTATCATAACTTCGTAACAGTTCCTCAGCACTTACCATGTGCCAGGCAAGCACTGTGCTAAGTGCCTTACTGGTATTCTCTTTTAATCCTGAGAGGGAAGACAACTTGCTGCTTTGCTTATTTAGCGCTTGGAAGAGAAGTGATAACCTACAACCTTACATCACCCCACACATCTGAGTCAAGTTTAGCTAGTGAAAATTTCCTGTCTTCTCAAAAGGATTACAAGGTAGTTATAGCAAGTAAGAGGATTTGATCCCATGTGCTTGATTACGGGGTCTGTGCATTTATTTTTTGACAAAAAATTCAAGATAAGATAAACTGGGTATTTTCAAGTTATTCTTATTCTTTGATATAACTTTATCCAATTGCTACAAATAGAAGAAATAGGAAGTTTATACATATTCATTTTTCTTCCTAGATCAACTCTTAGAGATTATGCTTAAAGAAAGGCAAAAGTCAAAACAAGTCAAACCCAAACAGGCTTGAGACTATAATTACTAATTATTTTCTAAGTATCCAATACAGAAATGTTTAATATATTTATCAAGTGTTGATTTTTATGCTAAGTATTACAGCCCAATAAAAATTGATTCTGAACAGGCAGCAAGACCTTCCTGGGACCAAAAAAAAAAAAAAAGCTTCCAGCTCCATGACAACAGCGTAACTAGGGGTTCAGGCTGCTGACAAGAAAATCACTGCGTTGAGAGATAAGGAGCCCTTGAGCCACATGGATTTAGGTTCAGATTCCACTTAGTAGCTGTGGACTTGGGTAAGTTATTCCATGGGTGTTTTCATCTGTCAGATGGGCATAATCCTATGTCTCTTAAAGAACTATTATGAAGATTAAATATCATGTATCTGTGGAACTTGGCACATACCAGCCACTCGTTACTGAGTACATATTGTTATCAAGACCAGCATATGGATTTGTTTAGCTGAGGTGGGCTTCTATTCACTCTTTGTCTTCACCAAGTTAAGACAATCCTGGCACCCAGATATCAATGACAGCCAGATCTGCGCTACCCAGGTTGGCAAGTTCTTTCCTCCTTTTTCATATTCTGGTACAATTATAGATTAGTAAATTATACAGATCACTAAATACTTTACAGGAAAAGCAAATAAACTTCCTATGAACCACCCTCTGAATGGTTCCTGGGAGATTTAGAATCTAGGAAAACAAAGTACATGTTCACTTTGACAGAAGCATGGTCAAATGGTAGTAGTGCAATTTAATGGACTGTTCCAAGGTAGGATGTACAGTGACATGCCATTCTTTTGTCTGTGTGAGCTTCATCAGTGGGGAAAGCAACTGCTGAATGTTTGCTCTTGTACTTTTGTTTTTTTAAATTCAGCCTCTAGTTCAGTTTTTCCATATACCTAGCTGCCAGACTGGAACAGAGCAGGGTCAGTCACACCAGTGAACAGCTGTTAGAAGTAACCATTTACATAGAGAGGATCCAAGAGAAAGGAAGTGAAAACCGAGAAATTCCCGCCTACTGAGACTATATTCTGTAGCCACTAAATGTATGGTAAACCAAAGCAACCATGTATTAATATGGATAATGCTTAAATTTTGAATGTCACATAATCCTTTATACTTGTATATAATTTTAAGGTGCACTCTCATTATCTTAGTTAAGCCTCGGTACCATGTAGGAAACAGACTCCGTAAAAACAAAATTCAAACCACATCTAATTCCAAGTATAGTTTTAGCCAATCTAGCTACTCCTAGAGAAGTGACCAGGGGCTCTAAGAGAGCGGTTCCCAAATTTGTCTGTACACTGGGATCACCTGGGAGCCTTAAGAACTACCAATGATGTCTGTGTTCCACCCCCAGATTGTAGTGTAATTATTAAAAAAAAAAAGCTTATAAAGATTCCCAGGTGATTTATGTTCAGGCAAATTTGGGAACTGCTACTCTAACACTTTTAAAAAAAATAATGAGTAGCTTAAAATACTACACTTAAAAATACTTTGAAAATTTCAAATGGATGTAGGTATACCTTCAATAAGAAACCACCAGTTTTAAAGTAGACTGAGATGATAAATCATGAAATACCAAAGTTTAAAAAACATATTTTTAGTTTTATTTCAGCCATGTTAGGTTATCCATGAGCTGTGAAAAGCTATGCTACTTGATAATAAACCCACCAGTTCTATATACTACTTTGCAAGCTTGACCTCTAGTTTTTCACATACCTCAGTTAAATCGTTTATGCCTTAAGGAGAAAAAATGTCAATCAGAGAAAAGTTGTGTCTGTCACATATATAATAGAACCTATGGTCATCGTCACATTATTGTCATTAGAGAATATTTGCTTTTAGGGGCAATTACAGGTAATCAATGCTGTATTTTTCACCGTCCTCCTCCCTGTTTCCTTTAGTAAGTGAAAGGATGCTGTAAGAAAGCAAGCATTTAAAACCATCAAAAATAAAACAAATTATTTTGAGATATTTTTAAAAAATCTTGACAGGGGTGAAAAAGAGGATTTAGGCTTGCAGGGCACAGAACTGCTGGAATACAGCCAGGATATGAGGATCTAACTCGGCAGTGAAGAGCAGGTTCTCCAGGGTCACCATGTACTGCTGGATTATCTGGTGATGCTGTGGACACAGAAGAGGGGTGGCTGGGTCAGGAGAAAGAACACACAGCAGTCTTGCAGAACACTCCCCTTAGCAGCCCACCCACATTGTGCAGTGACAGGAAGGCATAGGCAAAAAGCGGTTATGCTGATGGCAATAATGGACCCCTGAAAATCCCCAACATTAAGAAAATGTAGAGGGAAATGAGGGAAAAAGGATGCTCAGTAACTTCAAAAACAATCCAGTTCTGACCAGCTTCTATTCAGTGCTTCAAGGCAGTGCCTGCTGCTACAACTACCTACTAAGTTAAGCAGAGTCTCCCCTAATGAAGACAAAACACAAGTAGGACTTTTTGAAAGTAACCCAGACAGGGACTGACCTAGGAAGAGTTTTTAAAAAGGGGAGGAAGATGGCATATGTTACAAGTAAGAATAGAATAGCACAGTTGTTACAGTTCAGGATTAAAACCACAGTCCCTGAAATGTAAGAAAAACATTGGGAATCTTTTTTTTTTTTTTTTGGCTAGAGCATTAAAATATCTCTTTGCCAAAGAAAAAAATTAACATATCACTGGTTAATTCTGTATTCCACTAAATAAGAAACCCAAATCTCACTTTGGTTTATATTTGAAAATAGCTTTTTTGTCTTATTGAAAATAGTGACTTCTTGAGCCTACGTTGGAAAAAAAGTGTCAGAAAATGAAATAATCTCCTATATGTGCACCTTATAACTTGAATATACCCAGAGAGCCCTAGAGGACTAGAGACTGTTTTAATTGGTAAAAAAAATAACTAAAAAATCTGGAGAGAATTTTTATTTGGAGGCTTAGAATTTTTATTTGGAGGCTTAAAAAACTTTTTTCCTTTTATGATTTCTACTTTAGTCCCTCTTTTCTAAAATAAATGAGGATTTGGGGTGTTAAATGTCTGAAGAAACCAAGAATTTGTTCCACATTCCTACCAATCTTTAACTTAAATTTAGCAGAGAGCAGGTGCTGTGTTTTACTTTCTGTAAAGACCTCAGGGAACTTGGCCTTGCTTCTGCAGGCACTCTTCATCATCTGCACGTGAGGTTTTAAGGACCTTTATACATGTATTGCAATTACTGTTCCTTTCGCATTGTTTCCCTCTACATTTTGTATTATAGCTACTAGGCTTTCTAGCAAAGAGAATGACAGGTAGGAGTCTGAATGACAGAACAAATTTAAGCCTAAATATTCTGATGAGCAACAGTAGGTGCAAATGGACATGAACTACAATAAAAAGCTTCCAGGTACCACATAACCTCCTTACAAATTTGGTGATTTTTAAAAATGGAATATCTCTGTGGCTGAGAATAGTGATGTCTGTTATGTAATCAAGCTTCCCACAAACCTGTAAAAAGATCTGCTGGAGCCGCTCTATACAGTTCTTGTACCATGGTGTTAATACACTGGTCCCGTCAGTTTCACATCGTACTAAGTGCTCAGTCAAGATCATGATAAACCGCTGGAAAGGGGGTACAAAGTTAAAAGGATGTTAGAGAGCGAGTTCTTTAGAAACAATCACATTTGACCAACAGACCACAAAGGTATTGCTTGTTTCCCCTCTGTCTTGGTGGCGTGTATGCCTGACTTTATAATTCAGTGCATACTGTCAGTCTAGAAAGGCAGACCAGTGATGTGAGTTGGTACATTCTTTTTGCCTATACGTGAAGACCTTTAATGTCTAGATTACTTTGCTGAGACATAATCAGAAATGTTAAGAGGAATCTATGCATAAAAATGTTCAGGAAGGAAAACAGTCATAGAAATGATTAACAATTGGGAATCATTAAATGAGAGCAGTACTTAACAAAAACATCACCATTTTATTTTTAAAGCATGGAGAAATGCTCAGGAAGAATGCTATGTAAACAGTTTGGAGGTATATACATGGTTACCTCCAGGTAGTGAGTTATTTCCTTTGTAAATTTTTGTATTTAACTATTATAAATGTGCATGTATGATTTTCATAATTAAAAATAACATTTTTTAAAACAAAGGAATGTATTGTTTCTTTTTACATATCAATGTCCCAAGCCAAGGTACCTGAAATATGACCAGGAAGAGGTTCTTCTGTTCACTCTGAGCAGATTCCACTTTTTCCTGTAGTCTTTCTATTTGCTCCTCAAGAGCCCCATCCTTCCTGTCACTGCTTCTGTCATCATCATCACTTCGCTACAGAATGCACAGGAACAAAAGGAAAATGCCATTTAGAATTCTAGTGTATGAAATTTCCTGAAGTAAGGGGAAGGATTTTATTGTGTCTGGTCAAATGCTATCTTGAAGACTTGTATTCTACAGGGAAAGAAACCGCCCCCGCCACCATACACACTCACCCAGAAGTCCTAGGGGTACTTATCTAGGGCAGAGAAATTTAGTGGTACTTGTCTTGGATAATGGTGTTGGGAATGTTTGCTCTAAAGCAGAAGTGAGTTATACCTTTACAAGATAGTCCAAGATAGCCCAATCAGGGAGGAAATGTGTCATATTTTTTCCCTCCATTGAAAATGAAAACAGCGTTGAGCACCATGAAAAATATAGTTGATTCTTGTTACTCATCATAGTTATGTTTTCTGAAGTTGCTGAGAATCCTGAATTAGTGAATACTGAACCACTGCTCCTTGCGGAAACACAGGGTTAGGTTCTCAGGGAGCCTCTCATCACAGCATTTTCATCAACTGATCAATATGTAACCTTGTTTTATGTATGTTTCTGTCTAATGACATATTACAGTATTTCTTTATACTGAACACTAGCTGAGAAGGATTTAACATTTTCCTGACCCTTAGTAATGTGACTAAATTTCTTTGGCTTTCAGTATCATAAGAATGCTGCCCACTACATTTTTTTTAATCGGTCGTCATCTCATAAATCCATAAATTTAGCTACTTTCCCAGCTTTTGCCTAGCTTTATCACACACGACAGATGTTATTTTAGTACTTGATGCACAAATTGGTGAATTTCCTCTTCCTTTTCAGCAGCACCGTAACTCATGCCTGGACAAAGCTTATCTAACACATATATTTTTCCCGTCAGGCACATGACAGCCTTCCTGTGCTGAGGACACTAGACAGCCAGCCTTTCAGTTCTATGTTTGGGGCCATTTTAAGCAGTGAAATCACCAACAAAAAGCCCAGCACAAAATGTGAAAACAAAAAGCACAAACAAGAAAAATGTGGCACTAAATACACCATGCAAAGGGCACTTTTTTATATAGCAGGAGAACTGAAACATGGCAGACGATTGCCTTGTTCTTGTTCGGCTGGGAACAAGCTCACTGCTCTGCATATGTCTGCAAGTGACTGGGAAAGCAGTTACAAATACATTTGTAAATTGGGTTACAAATACATTTTAGTGATTAGGTGAGTTTGTAAAAAATAGAGCCTGCAAATAATGAGGGTAGTATAGCTCTGCTATTCTTTATTCAACAAAGTAGATGACCAGTGATAAATCTGATAGTGCTTTCTAGTCATTAATAAATAAATCACTATTGGACCATTTGAGCAGTAATAACAGAAAGAGAGTTTGCTCATCTTTCATCCCCTAAGGAGTCATGCCGAAAAACTGGGCAGGCCCTTATACCTCAAGAGCCACAGGCTGCCCATCCTTGCAGTAATGTAGAAATGGCGATGAATGACATGTAATAATTCACAGCAGATTATTTAAGACCCTGCTGGTAACGATGGGCTTGATACACCTGTTAAGCTTTAACAATTCCCTTCTAGCTCACCTTGAAGAACTTAGAGCATGCGCTTAGGTGGTTTTTTAAAGGCAGAAGAAAAGGCAGGCATGATTTTACAGATGTGGGAGCAGGCTGATAGATTACATGACTTTCCTTCCTAGTGTCACACAGCCAGCAAGTGGCAGAGCCAGAACCTGACTAGGTGTGTTACATACCAAGGTCCTTTTAGCAGAAAGGAGGCATCACCAAATCTAGAAAGCCTATTCCCTTCTAGATAACACTCTATTGGTAAGGCCTTACCTATAGTAGCCTCTTTCTCTCTTCAAGCAAAATGATCAGAAATGCCCCACTGTTTTTACAGAATTCTGCTTTTATCTCTAACAGACCACCTGGGTCTGTTATGGGGTCTGCCTTATTATGTTTTAGGCAACTGGGTATATGCTTGTCTTTTTCTAACAGTACACTTAGGCAAAGTTCTAGAGTACCGCTGCCCAATAGACCTTTCTGCAGTGAGGGAAATGTTACGTACGTCCGTGTTGCCCTTCACTAGCCACATGTGACTAGTGAGCACTTGAAATATGGTTAGTATGCCTAAGGAACTGAATTTTAAATTGTATTTAATTTTAATGAAAGTTACGTGTGGCTAGTGGTTTCCATATTAGACACCACATATCTAGAGAATGGTGTGTCCTAAGGGAAAGTTTCTGGAGTCTGACAGACCTGGGTCAAATCCTAGAGCTCTGTCACTTATTAGCCATGTTACTTTGCACAAGTTATTTAACTTTTCTGAGCATCAATTTATACATATATAAAATGGGCTGACACCATTTACCCTGCAGTATTTGTATGTTTCTGTACATACATGCACATGTATATATGTATGCCTGTATGGAGACTGTAGAAGCACTTGAACTTGATGTAGCTTCATATAAGTCATTAAACTTATTTTCAACTTCTACTCTGGTAAATATGTGTAACACTGGAAGACAGCATCATGAAGAACCCCAGTACTATTATGCTAAAACACAGAATACAGCCAGCTCACTGCTTCCCCCCAAAATGGCGAGGTGCTGAACTTATTAATATGAATTAATATAAGTAGTCTGCAACCCTGGGAATGAGTGCCTCAGCCTTCTCCACAGCTCTGGTGAAATGGTAAACATAACAATCTTCTCCCTATTCCCCTCTCCTCCTGCTCTTTGGGGAATGGCAAACATAAAGCTGATCTGGGGATGGTGAACTATGGAAAAGTACAGTTTGTGGCTTCCTAAACAGCAGGTTCACCATGCCGTATGACTGCAGAGAGCAACAAACCCCAGAGCACCTTCCTTGTCCTCTCTGCTAACATCTCTGCATAATTTGGCCGCAGGAAAAATTAAGTGCCCATCAAGGTAATAAACTCCGAATATCTCAAGAGTTTCTGGTATCCTGTCTTTGACCGTTTATGAACTGACACAAGACTTACCCGTTTGTGTTGCCTTGCGAGTTTTTCTTTAGCTTCTTCCAGCTCTTTCTGGATCTTCAGAACGTGTTTGTTCATCTTACGAATTGTGGAGTGCAAGATTTCCCAAACGAATAACCTTCAAGTAAAATGGCATTTGGTGTTACTACTGTATGCTAAACTATTCTTTTAGAAAATAAAACCGCTCAACTTTTATAACCTACTCATTCTTAAGGTCTGATACAACCTTCCACTCTTTAAGCAGAATTAGTCATATATCTCCAGCAACACTTAAGTATCTATCTCTACCTAAGAGACTCAGGTGAGCTTCCTGAAGACTACTGGGTCCTTGCCATTTTTCTTATTCCATCCCCTGCTAGACATACATTGAAGGTATGTGTACATATTCATTGGAATGAAATGGCAAACCAGTAAAAACATTAACATAAGCAACAAAAATACATGTTCTCTCTTCTAAATTTAAACACTAAGTATTGGAATTTTCTCAAAATGGAAAACTAACCTGAGGCTCATTTTGCATGCTTTATACTATTTAGCACACACTCAGCTAATTCTCCTGGAACATTTAAGAAACTCATTAGTTGATAATAGCTATCAACTGCTGGGCTTTCAAGAACGAGAGAAATATTTATGTCAGCTGCCTTACCAACAAATTGCTAAAGTACCAGGATCACTTTGTAGGTGCTTTAAAATGTTTGCTGCATAAATGGATTATTTTTCTAAAGTGGCTTAACTACTTTTCTGTCTATAAAGTAGGTCTCCGAACCCCAAGACATAGCATAGAAGAGTACTTCCTTCTACAGATTGACCTGGATGACAGTTTAAGTGGAAGACAGTAAAATAATCTGTTTATAAAACTCAAAATCTAGACTGTTAGCAGACAGGATAAAAGAGCAGAGTACTTGAACTCTGGAAGGGGTGGTCAGAGGCTTTGCAGTTAGAAATAGTGGAGCTTGGTGTTAAAGAACAGAAGGAGCACTTGGGCAATGTACCCATTTAAGAATGCCTGTGTTTGAATTCTGGCTCTGCACTTAGTTGTGTGACTCTGGGCAAGCTACTTAAACAATGCAACATTTTTCTATTTTGACAATAATGTAGCTCCCTCTACAGTGGTGTTGTGAGGAGTAAATGAGTTGCAAATGTCAATCACTCAGGATAATGGCTAACACAGTTAGGTGGTCAGTTTTCTGTGAGTTTGCAAATCTGAGAACGTCTTTCCGTTGCTTTCATCTGTGAATGCCAACTTAGCTGGTATGATAACCTTAGATCACACTCTTTCACCCTAAGAACTCAGTTTATTTCAGACCAGCATCCTCTGCCAATAACAGACAATGATGAGGGTAAAGGTTGTGATGGATTTTCATGTCTTTACAAGTAACTTCCCTTTGTTTCCTGTTTTGTGTCAACTCCTTCTTTCCCAGTCCTGATCAGTTATAAAGACTGGGGACTTAACTTCATGAATAAGAACCAGCTTAAGGAAAAGTCTCTTTCCTTTAGGGGGAATGGTTCTAGAATGAACCTTCTGCATTAAATCTATGATTTTTATGACTGAGGTTAAGGCCCCTCTTCCCCATAGGCATCCAGGTGCCCACTCAGCTTTCCTCAATCTCCAAAGATGTGTACTTAATCTACTGTGACTCTGGTTTCTCCTAGTTCCTAGTGTGCATTCCAGGTCCCCAGTGGAGCGTGGAACTCTTTCCGAAGTCCCATTGTCTAGCCTGGGACCCTGACACACAGCCTGATAATCCAGATCAGGGGTCGGCAAACTTTTGAGACCGAAGAGCTGCCAGGGGTCAGCAAACTGCGGCTCGTGAACTGTGGCTCTGAAGGAAAATTGAAAATGAAAATAAAACTATCAGTTTCATTTATAAAATTTTTAAAGGATATTATTCACATAATGGTGACTATGTAAAAATATACTTATGGCTCTCGAATAATTTTTAAATTGTTGTGAGGGATAGGGTTGGCTCTTCCAGGGGTTGGAAAACTTTTGAGATGGAACGTACCCAAAGAGCCACAGCTTGCCGACCCCTGGTCTAGATCCTTATCAGCGTTTCCACTTGACTGCTTGAGTCCTGATTCAACTTACATGTGTGTCCCTAAGAGACACTACACCTGATTGGCTGTGCGTATTTCCATTGTCCAGGTGTCTCTGCCAAGTCTAATCCTAACAGGCTGGACCATTAGTATAACAGCAACCTGGTTTGGACCAAAATTTGGAACTCATATACAAGAGACCACATGAAAACCAATTCTTAGAGAATACAAACTTTGTAAAATAATTCATAGTGCCTACCTAGTAAAGTCACGAGACAGTTCTGAAGAGAAGATCCAATTTGCTACCGCAGCACAGTTAACAATCTGTGTACGAATCATCTTATCTACTAGAACAGCAATCATCTACAATGAGAAAAGAATTATTAGGGTAAACCACGCTTTTACATAGGCCACAATGATCCCACTGCTACAAAAGTAAAATAGAAGGGTTGTGAAATTCATTTTCGGTGGCTATCGAACAATCAATTTGACCAGTAGGTCTTAAGATTTATTTTGCCCTCTGCTGGCTCTGGGACATATTGTAAAAATACTCTAATACCAATAAATACTGAGCAAAATGAAAAACTAAATGGAAACACTCAAAATTTTTTAAAAATTTTAGATAGTACGTACAAAAATATATAATTTCCACTGAATCCACTCCAATATCTAAAATTTAAAAATGTGTTTTTATCATAAGTCAAATATATTCTGAAATTTATTTTAATGCCTTTATAACCATATAAAAACAATAAATTGAGGTTGAGAAATCTGGAGCTTGTTTGTAGAAATTGGATAACTAGATAACTACTTCATACCCAATTAGCAGAATCTTCAAGAAACAAGTATTTAAAATGTGTGAGGATATTATAGTCCCAAACCAAATCACAATACTTGCTCTTTAAAGAATGAATCAAGCATTATCACTTCCACAGCACTAAAAAAAATTACATATTTTAAAACCATTCTATAGGCAGAGTCAAATTTCATGTTTTACAACAAACTAGAAGAATGGTAATAATTGCCTTATTTTTATACTTATACAATCAGAGCCTCAACATGTCTAATTAAATAGTTTTTACCTGTGGATGGTTCCTCCAGACTTCAAACATAACTCTTAGAACGTGTAACTTTCCTTCATCACTTTCAGCTAGGGTTTTGAAGACTTCATGAAACCTGTTGATAGTTGAGGAAAAAAATACCACATATTCTTTAAACATTGTAATGTTTCAAAGCCTGTTCAATGTTACTCAATTTGCAATGCAAAATAACCACGTTAGCCATTAAGGATATAAAAGGTATGATTAGGCATTCATAGTTTGAATGGATTTTGTCACAAAAATCTTATGAGATTTACAATATACTATTGTTATCCCAGGACTAGTTTACTGTGTATCTAAGACTACATAAGGGATAAGGAACCGGCTCCAGACACAGGTGATGTATTGACTGCACCTCTGTGGGAACCCTGCAAGTAACTAGGGACTTGGAAGCTGAGATGGGAAGAGGAGCCCAGTTTCTCTGCTTGGATGGACTGTCTATATGCTTTCTTTAGATGCCAACCTTTGGGTGGCTCCCAAAATGTAGAGGGCTCTCATTTCTGTTTAACTTCCTTTCTTGACTGAATATGTGACTGTCCTATGGCCCAAGTTTTTCACTGGTTTCTCTAAAGGTCTATATGAAAAAATATACATTCTATGTATATATGCAAACTGTACACACAACTGACAGAAGCCACAGGATCAGGATTTTAGCTACCACAGATCAAAACCCACTATATCAAATTATATCATAATACTATTATTAAGGTCTTCATATTCAACTGTAGGTAAAAATTACTATTCCGCTGGTATCCACCAAGCAAAGTGCTAAACCCTAAACAAAGGGTGTGTGTTCCTGTTTCACTTACTTTGCAAGAGCACTAAAGGAGTGGCTGAACGATTTGGCAGCCAAGTGTAGCAGAGTCTGCACAAAGACCTCTATTTTTAATGGGTTAAAGCTGAATCCTTCATCTGAAAAATATTCCACAGTAAGAAAGTTAGAAAAATCTAAGTATAGCAATTCCTTGGTCCCTCACCAGAAAGCTAAACAAATGTCATGTTCACATCTAAACAGTAAGTCAGACATTCATGAAACACCTCTGAGTATTAATAGACAATAAAAATCATCACTGATTTCAATAACTCAGAATATAAAATTAAGCATAATCTTCATTCTTAATTTTTTGGGAGTTTCCCTAATTCTTCTATATGATACATTTATTTTACAAATACCACATAGATTTCCTTGTGCATCTCTTTATATGGTGGGAAAATACTAAAAATATTAATACAAAAAATACAATAAATCCTTAACACTTAAGTCTATGTCCTAAGATGTCCAACAATGTCTAAATTTAATACCATCATTTTGACTTATTCTTTGTAATTATATTTTCTCTAAAATCATGTTACTTAGTAAAGTCCAAACAACAAAAGTCCAGTAATAAATAACCCGAAGATCATTAATGTTTTGTTTTTAATTAAGTCCTTTTTCTATGCACATGCCCTTATATATGGATCTAACAACAACAGAAAATTACACCCATAGTGGTTACCCAATTGTCCCAGTAGACTTTCATCTGTTTTACTGATTTGTCTCTTTTTTGTGTGTGCCAGTACCACACTGTTTTAGTTACTGTAGTTTTCAAGATATGGTTTACATGTGACAAGGCAAGTCCCTCGCATCACTTTTTGTCTTACCCATTTATTGATTCGGGTAAACTTACAAGTTATTTTGCCACTTTTCCCACTCTCACCCAGAAAAAAACCTAGGGATTTTGGCTGGAATTATGTGGTATATAGTCAGTGTTAAACATTATTATAATAGCTTAACTTAGAGAAAACATCCAACTTTATAATACACCAAGTCTTTCCATTCAGGAACCTAAAGTGAAAGCAGGGAATACTTAAAAATCTTTGAATGATGACTCCAGGGGGTGGGGAGGGGGGGACAAAAAAAAAATCTTTGAATGATAACAGTATATTTTACTTTGTATTTAGTTTATATACTTAATGTAAGCTATTTCATAGGGATGTTAGGATCTCTTTTTACATATGGGAGAAAATACCTGGGTTCTAGGAACAGCTGACAGTCTGAGCCAGCCAAACAAATACATTACTTTAGGAACATCCAATGAGATTTAAGAGGAGCTCATGTTGCCAGTTATGTTTATGCTTTCACCTGGCCTATACATAGTGCCACTCAAGAAATGTTTCATTCTCTTACCGTCATCGTCATCCTGGTTAGGATTCGGTACATCTTTCAGAATTCTGAAGATTTCATCATTGGTTGCTTTACTTTTAAAGGCAACAGATAAACAGAGGGCAACCGAATGTCCAGGAAGAGAATCTAAGCACAGAATGCGGGGAGAATAGATTAGGTTTTAAGACTATCTTGCAAATAGTTAAATAACAGAGAAACTTAAAAAAAATTTTTTCTTTCAAAATAGAATACTAACCTGTACAAAGATAACCCCATGTGAAAGTTTCATTTAATAGGTCAATGACTTTTCACCTAAAATAAGGCATGAGGTAATTCTCACTTCAATACTTCCTTAAAAACACTTAGCTAATTGAAATTCAGAGTACAGGGGGTGCTGACTCCTGGGGATGGGGAGTGAAAGGAAATGTGCATATAGTTACCACTGTCCTTTGACAGTCCTCAAATCCCTAGGCTTTTGCAAGCTGAAAAGCTGAGAATCAATGTATTTCTCTTTCATTTTTGCCAATTCTTTCCTCCCCCTTTTCTGAGATAGTGGAAACTAAGTTTGGGTTTGAACAGGTGAAGGATGCCAACTTAAGACAGTGTTTTTTGGGCCGGCCGAGTGGTTCAGTTGGTTAAGAGCTCGTGCAAGAGGGCAAGCTCTGAGCAATAGCGGTTCGATGCCCAGCCCGAGCTGAGTTGCTGCTGAGCTGCCAACAGGTGGCAGGATGGCTCAGCTAAAAAAATAAAAGAAAGACAAAAAAAAGACAGCGTTTTTTGCTTTTCTCTTTTTTTGAGTCCATACACTTGAATCTACGCTCATGTGCTGCAACTCCACGTATTTGCTATTGTAAAATTTGTGCTAGTATATACTGCAAGGCATCACCAGAGCAACTGGAAATCTACCTTTAATGTAAGGTGGGCAAGAGGTAACAATTACAAAGGCAATCCTGACATAGAATATGAGTTACTAAACACTCGGAATGAATAAAGTCAATAATAACAGGTCACTCATGCTGTGTGCTTTTCCTTGAAAGTGGGAGAGAAAATAAGTAACAAAAAAAGAATCCCTGTCACTGAGGAGTCTCTATTCTAGCTAGGGAACCATGATATTCACATAGGAAGCAACCAGAGAGCAACACAAAATAGGCTTGCCAAAGGTTAAAAAAGATTTATGGGAGCGCAGCTTGGACTAGACCAGCAGTTCTCAACTTGTGGGTTGCGACCCCTTTGGGGGTCGAACGACCCTTTCACAGGGGTTGCCTGAGACCATTGGAAAACAAAAAGATATTTACATTACGATTCATAACAGTAGCAAAATTACAGTTATAGAGTAGCAACAAAAATAATTTTATGGTTGGGGTTCACAACATGAGGAACTGTATTAAGGGGTCGCGGCATTAGGAAGGTTGAGAACCGCTGGGCCAGACCCTTTAGAGAGAATAGGACCAGAGACAGGAAGGGCTTTCCAGCCTGGGGTAATGGCACAAAGGCAAAACCAAGAACCAGAAGGATGGAAAAAACAAAAGAGGAAAAGGGCCTGGCTAGAGTAGAGGTCTATGTGGGAAGAACTGACAAATAACCAAGCAGGGACAATTGTTAGGAGGTCCCTAAATGTTTAGCTGAGTTGTTTCTATCGGAAAAAAGAAAGCTCAAGGTTCAACAAAAGTCTGAGCTCTTTGATATCAAAGACGGTATCTTATGATTCTGAGACAGTTCAAGGCAGAACTCCGAACCTGGCACTTGTAAGTGCCCCGTCAAGTTTTGCTCTTTCAGGAAAGCACAGTGGTTAAGAGTGTTGCTGCTTAGTCAGTAAGCCTGGATTTGCACCTGGGCTCTACCACTCAGAAGCGATCTCACTCTGGCTTTACCTCTTCGAAGCCATTTCCTCATTGTAAAACTGGCATAATGAACATACCTATTTCTCAGCATTGTTTTAAGAATCAAGTGACATCATAACATAGGAAATGGACTTAGCACCGGGACCAACTGAGTTTATTTCAAGGAAAACAGGTGTAGTCTAGGTGTAGGTGGAGAATCCGAAGTGCAGTATGAGAAGGCAAGGGAAAGGAGCAAGTTTCACAATACAAAGAACCTACACAAGATGAAATGGAAGTCTCAGGGAGGTGCCACGTGTAGTGCCATCTGAAAAGACTAACTTGGAAAACCCCCACACCTACCTCTACCAGTGATCACCAATGTACACCTTACCTTCATTAAGTGTAAAGTACAGAATGACATATTGAATTACAGTCCCTCTGATTTATAGTGTAATCTCAGAAATGATATGACCCAAGAGTAAGAAACCCATGTTTAAAAATTTACTTCTAGGGCCAGCTGAGTGGCGCGATGGTTAAGAACTGGCTTGGGATGGCAGAGGGCCCTGGTTCGAATCCCACATATGAGGGTCAGTGACACTGCCCTCCACAGCTAAGATGCTGAACAATGGCTCAACCTGGAGCTGGGCTGCCCGTGAGTCTGAACAACGGCTCAACCTGGAGCTGGGCTGCCCGTGAGTCTGAACAACGGCTCAACCTGGAGCTGGGCTGCCCGTGAGTCGCCTGCGATGGTGTAGGCTGCAGCCCCTGTGGCAGTGGGTTGCCATGGGCTACTGTGTGTAGCCAGCAGCCAGCGTGAGCGGCCAGCAGCCGCAGTGAGCGNCAGCAGCCGCAGTGAGCGGCCGTCCAGAAGCCGGTGACTGATCTGCCTCGCCCGGGAAGAGCGCAATGATGGTGCCAACTTGGGCCAGTGAAGCAAAGTCCTCCTCAACTAGACTGAAGAACAAAACAACAGCAACTGTCTGTTCCCCTTCCCCCAATTCCCCAGCACTGTTCCCATCCCTCCAATTCCCTAATAAAAACCTTAAAAAAAAAAAATTACTTCTAAAGGCATATTGCTGGTCAAAATATAGTCTATGAGTACCTATGTTCCCACACCTGAACTGGTATCAGATGATAATTCAAATAATTTCCATCACTATGATAAATACACATTTCTATTTTACTAAGTTCTGGCTATAAAATCACCTTGCTATGCTTAACAGCATATTTAAAATAATGCCATGGATATAACATTATAAACAATATTAAAAGAAAAATTTACAAGCCAGTAATAACAATGTAGATTACAATAAATCTTCAAAATGACAGGGTAAATAAAACAACAGTGGCCAGGAGCCGGCCGAGTGGCTTAGTTGGTTACGAGTTGGCTTAAAAGCACAAGCTCTGAGCAACAGGGCTGCCGGTTTGATTCCCACATGGGCCAGTGACACTGCGCCCGAGCTGTCGCTGAGCTGCCAACAGGTGGCAAAATGGCTCAGCTGGTGTAACAAGATTGCCTGTTTGATGCCCACCTGCAACTAAGGCTGAACTTGGCACCCTTGAGTTGAGCTACTGCCTGGATGGCTCAGTGGATCGAGTGTGCGCTCTTAACAAGGCTGGCTGGTTCGGCTCCCGCATGGGATGGTGGCCACACCCACCCGCAACTAAGGTTGAACACAGCAACTTCAGCTCAGAGGCCATGAGCTGCCGACAGGCAGCCAGATGGTGACTGGTGCCTTCCACAACGAAGATTGAAGAACAACAACTTGGCTGGTCCCCCTCCCCAATTCCCCAACGCTGTTCCCCTCCCTCAATTCCCCAATAAAATCTTTTTTTATTCGTCACTTCACTGGCCCATGTTGGTATTGTGATCATTGTGCTCTTCCTGGGGAGTGGCAGTCACTCTCCGGCCACTGGACGGCCGCTCACAAAAGTGCACGCCAGCTGCCAGCCAGCCCCACTGCAGCCTACACTGTCGCCGGCGACTCACGGCAGCCCAGCTCCAGGTCGAGCTGTTGTTCACGATCTTAGCTGTAGGGGGTGCAGCGTCACTGGCCCTCGTATGGGATCCGAACTGGGCCCTGATGCTCCAAGCTGGCGTCCCAAGCCAACTCTTAACCAACAAGCCACTCAGCCGGCCCCCCAATAAAATCTTTAAAACAAGAACAACAACAAAAAATACAACGGTGGCTAGTAGCAGATCACCTTTCAAACAGAGAAATTATAAACTCAAGAAAAGAAAAAGTTCACTTTCGTGGATCCATCTTAAATAACTGACATCGGAGAATACTTGCATCGATACTTTTTAAAGAGAGAGGGATTGTTTTATTACTTACTACTACTTTCATCTCCATACTTGTAAATGCAGGTTGGGTTTGCAGGACATAGAGCTGAGAAGGTCGGAGGAACAATATCTAATATACGCTGATGGTAAGACAACCTACAATACAAATAAGAGCCTCAGAAAACATTGCTCATCAGTTCCATTCTTTGGTAACATCCAACTTACCCAGAAAGTCACAATCTCCAACACTCTGGATAGCTGACAACCAAGTAAAAGAAGAAAACCAGTCCTTTAAACTTTTGTCCATCTCAGCAAACCAAAACTCAGGCTTTCTTCAAAACATAATGGTTTGCACTGAGGTGTGGGCCAGTAGGCCCACCAGCCTGCTGGCCAAGGATGTGGGGTGGTAATGGTGGGGTGAAGGAGACAGTATGCATGGTGGGGAGACTGGTTATATTGTAGCAAATAAAAATACAGAGATTATCGGAACTAGATTCTTACTGCCTGAAAAAGTATTTAGAAACCACAGTAAAGGGGGATGCTAGAAAAAATGAGATGCAGGGTTGGAACTGGAGGGTTACACACACCTAAGTGAATATAAAAATAGTTACAGATACATGTATGAGTGTGTGTGCATATATTCACTACCTTGGTCAATCCACAGGGTTTAGAAACAATGACACCCCAACAGCAAAAAGCATATCAAGTGTCCAGATGCTAATTCCTAAATACTACACTCCAGTACTAGAAACTGGGGCTCTTTGAATAAAGAGATGATTCCAGGGAAAGAGCAAGGAAACATAAGACTCGAGACTGGAATACCTTGTGCCAAAAATAAGAAAATGCTCAATAAATGGAGGGGGGCATTAAAAAGGAAAGAAAAAAAGGGCACAGGAGCCACAAGGGGGCTCCCAATGGACAAATGTGGGACAATTTGGGTATCAAAATAAATAATGGCTGTGACAGATTATAACCCACTGCAATAGAAATCCATTAGTTCCCACTGATAAACACAGGAATAAATAAATGCGTGAAAAAAGCTCTTTTTACAGTAGAAAATGAGAAACATCACTTGGCAATCATCATGTGGCGGCAGATAAAAGTAGGAGTTATCAGTGGAGGTTTGATGAAGAATAGTATACGAGTGTAACCGCAGAATGTCTCCCAGAAAATAATCAACTACAAAGGGGAAAAGGGTGAATTTAAGGTGGAGAAGCCTGGCAGACACTGACATGACCAGGTAATCAAGGTTAACATCTCCAGTGGTGGGATTCACGTGCCTCTTGATGTAATGCACTGAGAAAGGCACCAACAATGCAAGATTCAAGTCTGGTCATGAGGACATAGCAGGGCAACCCAAGAAAGCAAGGCCTAGATTGTTTAAAACTGGCAAGGACATGAAAAACAGAAAAATAATAATAATAACCATTCAAGACTGAGGAATCTGAAGAGAATGACAACTAAATGCTGCATGTGTCCTGGACAGGATTCTGGACCAGGACAAAAGACATTGTAGGGATGCCTAGCAAATTTCAACAGTGCCTGTGGATTGTGTGGTGATACTAGGGTACCAGAGCCGATTTCCCGATTTGGAGGGTTGTAAGAGAGTGTCTTTGTTTTGGGGAAATATGCAATGGCCTGTTAAAGGTTGATGGGACATTGTTATCTGCAGCTTGTTTCCAAAGGGCTCCGAAAAAGACCAATGTCATGGGTGCATATACACTGAGAGGGAAAAAGGAGTGAGCACTAGAACAAATGTCATGAAATGTTAATGACGAGGGAATCTAGATGAACAGGATACAGAGTTTTGTACTGTTTTGACAACTTTCCTGAAATTTAAAAATGTTTCCAAGTACATTTGACCAAAAACACCTTTTTGGCTTAATTCGCATAGAATACAGATGTCATGGTTGCCTAATTTTTTCAGCCTAACTCTTGATTAAAAAGTAACAAGGAAGAGAAGCAGGTACTTAGAATTAAAAAATGATATCCTGGACATAGATTAGAAATGCAGAGAAGAGAAAAATCTTCCCCTCTCCCCGCTACAGAAATTAGGAGACCTAAGCTAGAAAGAAAACACAAAGAACTTACCTCATACATTTTTCTAGAACTTCTCTTACAAACTTTGGTTTGGGACTTTCAGGATCTTGAGTAAGACAATCTGACCTAATGAGGAAATGTAGTTTTATAAATTCTTACACAGAATCTGTACTTATATTAACTTGTACCTAGCTACAAATAGCTTTCTTCTATTAATGCCTAAATTATTTCATTTATATACATATATAAAAAATAAACCAAATATTTCAAACCATGATTGCTTTTGTTACAGTTTTAAATATCAACAGGTTTATTATTATTATTATTATTATTATTATTATTATTATTATTATTACTGTAGACTGTAGAAAAATGAAAGATAAAATATAACATCACTTACCAATCTTCCCAGCTCCAACGGAACTGGAAGTTACTTAGATGATGTGAAAACCAATTAATAAACCTATACAGAGAAGTGGGAGGTAGAGGGACAGAAAAAGATGAATGGTTGCAGTTTATACTAGGAACTTATATAATCCTTTAGACAAATACAACCCTATTTTATACTTAAATGAAAAGCATATATTCCTCCTATCTATAGCTGTATCTGTTGCCATTTACCTGTCTCTCTGCAAATCCTATAACTCATCTTTTACTTCAAAAATAACAGTCTCCTATCTCACTCCTTCTAAAAGTGCTAACCTTTTTAAGTGAATAATAGATACAAAGATAAAATTTGAATTCCTGTTTTGTGCCAGGCACCTATATATGTTTATAATTTAATTCTCACAATAACGTTGGAGGAATGTATTATTTTCCCTATTTAATTGACAATGAAACAGAGACCAAAAAAAAAGATTAAAGAAATTGCAGATAAAACATTTTATAAACAGCAGCGCTAAATAAAGTATAGTCTCTTATCATCACACCATGCCCTATACACCACAGACAACAAAATATACCATCAAAACCGTCTTTTCCCCTAAAAATACATCTGATATCTCTAACAAGATATGGATCGCCTTAGTCCACTGTATTATGCTGTGAAATTTGTAAGTCCAATGACTATTTGCTGAATGAATGGCATAATTGGGATGCTCAACACAACTAGTAGTTTTATTAGACTAGGAAAGAAAAATCAGAAGACACTTTCTTAAAGCATGTCCCTCATGTGCCTATTAATTACTGAAATTAAAATTAAGATAATAGGTCAATGACACAGAATAGCCCTGATAATTTTCAGATATGGAATTTCAATAATGGACATGAAAGATTACGGAAATTGGAGTAATATTCACTATCTGTCCTGATCTGATTTGGGAAACTGACGGTGGGCATGCAATTACCACAGATATAAAAATCCAATATGGTCTTTTATACAGTCTTGAAGCTGTAGTTACGTAGAAGCTAATTATTTTAGAAGTAGATACTATCTCTAAACAAACAAAAATACATATACATTTATACATGTAAGTATTAGACTCCACTTCTTCAAAGAGTTTCATAAAGCCTATTTTAAAAGCTTAAATACCCAATTATAGTGGGAAAAGTATAACTAAACAAACAAGTAAACAATGAATGAAATTAAAGAAAATCTCAGCACGGGCATCATTTCATACTGAAAGTTAGACTAGAAAGTGTCATGTTACATTACAACAAATATGAGTTTTATTAAACAAAGGATTATTTTGGGGAGGCAAGAAAGAAGAGTCAATTTGGAAATTTTTAAAAAGGCAAATGTTTGGCTGATCGAATTCTTTTATAAAGTACAGGGAGTAGAAGCTGCTAACAACCAGTATAGAAATAAGGCAATTACTCTACCTGTCTACACATGTAGTATTCATCGTGTCCAAACGCATGTACAGCATTTCAGTTGCCTGTGCAAGCTGTGAATTTGAGGATAAGGAAAACTATTCTCCACCCTCCTTCAAAATAAGTTGTAATAGAAAAAATGAGTAACATTTTCTAGAAGTCCGTACAATTAATAATGTTGAGCATCTTTTCATGTGACTTAAAAACAAAACAAAACCAGCTTTGAGGTTATCAATGATGTACAATAAATTCAACCTGTATACACCCATGAGATCAAGATAATGAACATTTATTATCACCTCCAAAATTTCCCCATGCTTCTTTGTAATTCATTCTCCCTTCTCCCCGTCCTTACCTATGTCCCCAAGCAAATATTGGTATGCTGTCACTAGATTACTTTGCGTTTTCTAGAATTTTGTGTAAATGGAATCATAGGAATTCTTATTTGTTTGGCATCTTTTACTCAGCATAACTATTTTGCAATTCATTCCCGTTGTTGCCAGCATCAAAAACTTGTCCCTTTTTATTACGTAGCATCCCACTTGTATAGGTATAACCCAATTTGCTAATCCATTCATGTACTGATGGATATTTGGATTGCTTCCAGTTTAGGGTTATTATACATAAACTTTCTATGAACATTAATGCCTAAGTCTTTGTAAGGACATGTGCTTTCATTTCTCTTGGGTAAGTATCTAAGGGTGGAATGGCTGGACTGTATGACACATATGGTTAACATTTAAAGAAATGCCAAACTGTTTTCCTGAAGTGATTTAAACTCACAAGCAGAAATATTTAATAATCATTTAAAGCTAGGCCAAAGAGAGTAAATTTAAAAACAAAGGAAAGGATACAACTTGGGGTAGAGAACCAGGCTGAAGTTTGCACAGTTCAATGAGAAGTGTTGTGTACATCACATCAATGTGAGGGGGTGCTGGAAGTTGAAACAGCTCTGCAAAGATGACCTACAAAGGAATCGGAAGTTAGAACTCAATTCAACAGCTATGTATGCACTTCCGCCACTATTAGAAAGACCTAAACATTCTAAATGTAAACTCTTAATTCCATGATATTTATAATGAGAAAAGAATTACTTTTAAATCTTTAAAATTATGCTCTTTAAAATATGAATGCCTATAACAATATTGTAATGAAAATTTCTTCCCTCTATAACTCAATCAAATAAGAATATGCAAATATTAATGCTTATTTGATACTCCAAGAGAATCGTGCAATTAAATTCCAACTTTGGAAATACAGGAGTTGATTCACTGAGGGATTCACAGATTCATCAGAGTTTTATTCTTATATGTAGTAAAAACCCTTATTAGGCTCTGAGGATAGAAACAGAAGATAATCAAGTCAGTCCACTCTGCTACTTGAAACTAGTGCCCAGAACCTTTCTGATAATCCAAGACTTCTTTGCCATACCTCTTGTTCAGAAACTTGTTTTCCACCCTCCTTATATAATTTGTGGATCACCTACCTAGAATTCTAAAGTCTGATCTGCATTCCTTCCTCTGACTCCCACACTTCTGTACTTCATTCTGATGACTTTCTATACATTTTACAGATTTAAAGATATGACCTATATTTTGCATTTCAATTGACATGTCAGTGAGTCAAATTCAGAGCCTAAGCTTACTCTCAAGTTTTGTAAAGGTAGGACAGATGCAGTACTTTTAAGAAAGCACACAAGTGCAGTATGAATAAAAAGTGAATCTTAAGTAATACACCATAAATATGCTCATGACTATTTTAACATAAAGGAATATGCAGCTGACAGTTTGACCCATGTGTCAAGTGAAAACGCTGTTTAACAGGACATAAATTTCACAAGGTGTTCAAATATACTACTAATATCATCCTTCTATATGACTTACTATGGGATCAAAAGCATTATCTATTCTTCCTACTTTCAAAACAATTGGCTCCCTTAATTTCTAAGAATAAGATTCATACTTAACCCCCCTTGTGATATAGGGAATAATATACTAGTGTACACTAGTAGTAAGAGGCCAGATAAACATAGTTGAAAATAGGTTATCTGCCTAAAGTAATAAAATATTTTAAAGTACTTACACTACTTATACGTCTGTTATTGGATAAGGTATTGACAGAGCTAGAGGTAACTTACATTATCCATAACTGTCCATGAATGAACACATACTATATAATTTATAGGCAACTCAAAAATCCATTTGGCTACTTGTTTCAACCTCCTCTTTTCTCTTTACTAACACAGCTAACAGAGCACCAAAACAGATAGCAATTTTCTCGCTCCTTTGTTAACTTTCAGAACCTGATAAGTAGCAAGAAAAAAAAAAAATCCCCAAGTAGATTACACTTTAAGTCAACAGAAAGTTTCTGAAACTTAGAACAAGCTCCATGTGGAATGCATACCTCAACTATGTGGTAGTTCAAGGGGATCTTGTTCTTCCCTGGATAGCTCACCAGCTGTGCAGCACTATAAAAAGTGTAATTTAAGTTCAGTGAGTATACAAAGATACATGAACAGTCAACTAAGCAGTGTGTTTAGATTTAAGAAAAGGAGAATCTTTTATGAAACGTTCTAGATTTCAGTTACTTCACTACAGCACAAATTATTTTGTCTAGCACAAGGAAACTTCAATGCATCCACAACTCCCTAAAGATCAAAATGAGTTTAAGTAATAATACAAGGAAACATATTAAGATCTACTAACTTAAAGTTTTAATAGAGTAGACCACTTCCAAAAGACTATATTCCTTTCCACTTTAAAATCTACACCAAAACTTTCCAAGGTTTACGAAAAAATAAAAATAAACTTTTCCAAAGCTAAATGTCTCAATGCTAGAAAACAGAGCAAAACCATTAGTATTCATTTATTCCCATAACATTTACACCAAAAATAGCTTGCTATCCAAGTTAGTTTGTCCACAGCATATTGTAAACGTCCATACAAAAAGCGTCACATGCACATTACAGTACTATAAAGCACCCAGAAAAGTATCATTTTGAGGGTGAAGAGCTTCAAGAAAGCAATGCAGATTGGTCTTAGCAAGATGAGGTATCAGGAAGAGAGATTCTCTTACACCCTTAATTTATAATTTGCTCACAGTTATTTGTTTACTGGCTAAAAACTCCCTCAGACAGTGCTGTGTGAGCTGGTGCACTGTCGTAATGCAAGGGTCATGAATTGTTGATGAAAAGTTCAGGTCATCTAACTTTTTCACACAGCCTTTTCAGCACTTCCAAATAGTAAACTTGGTGAACTGTCTATCCACTTGGTAAAAATTCACACTAAATAATCCCTCTGATATTCAAAAAGTCTAGCAACATCAGTGCAGTAAGTTTGCGAACTTAATTGTCAGAAGTTCATATGAAATTAAATTTGCTTTTTTCCTGTTAAACTGTCTTATGCCAATTTAATTATTAGACCAGCCAAAAGAACCTAGGAGGGTAGAGGAAATATTTTCCTCTAGTACTCTGATTAGACTCAGAATACTTATCCATATGATCAGGAGGTGGAGAGAAGGGACAAGCACTTCTCTCTGAGTGCTATAAGGTATTTCTAGTCCTTGTTCTGTCAAAGTTGTAAACAAAGACTTAATGACTTAAAAATAAAAAACAATGAACTTAAAAAAAAAAAATAATAATAATATATATATATGTGTGTGTGTGTGTGTGTGTGTGTGTGTGGCATTTGCTCTTACCAAATTATCAAAATTGCTAACTTTTTCTGCTCTAAAAGTAACATGAAAAGAACCTTACCAAGTATTCCTTTCCTTCCAGTGGGATTTAATGATGCAGTGAAGATTTTCTTCTATTACAAATCTTTCTACTGAATGACTCCCTGGCATTACAGGACCCTGGAAAGAAAACCAAATGTATATACTACAGACTTAGAAAAAATGTTTTCTTTCATTTATTCAACAAATATTTGAGAACGTATTATGTTCCAGACACTATATCAGGTGCTGGGTACAAAAGTTCAGAAGTGTGGAAGCTCTCTGTTTTCAGAAAACTTCATTATTGTGTTCACTTCTATGTACAACAGAATTAGAGTATCAGCTGCAGTGTTTCTTCTACATAACGAGTATCTGACACCATACTGTCATTGCCCACCTCAATTCTTATATGAAACAAAATACTTTTTATTATTAGTCTTACACACTTTATTTTTTAAAAAAACTACACAAATTACTTCCATAATAAACATGGAGAGGGAAAGTTTTATTTCAAGAACTAAAAGATTTATTTCAAGACATAAAAAAATCACGTATGCGTTGAAAGATATCCATACTATGTTGATTTTAAGAAAAGTTAAAAAACATTACCTACATAATATTGCTTAATTTTTTTAAAAAAGCACAGCAAACAGGTTCAGCGTTTGTTTTATTTATTTACTATTGTAGACTCTTAATGATGACTTTTAATCTTCTCTATAATTTCTCATTTTTAAAAAGAAACATTTTTTTCAAAGGCCAGAACAAAAAATCCAAATCCTCTTCATTTTGAGGGGAACAGATTATTTTGTATTTTATTCTCTTCTGGCAAAGGATGATGGGCACTTATAGAAGCAACACCAACGAAGTATAAATAGTATAGGTGAGACAAATTTTGAGGTCCCACACTAGTTCTCCTTGCACAAAGCAATACCCAATCACAAATATTCTAGCAGTCTTAAATATAAATTAGACTTTCAATTATTTATACCTAATTAGACTATTACAACATGTAGATTAAAAGCATTTTATTACATATAGAATACAGCAAAGTGGGTAGCAAGCTAAGAACTTTGTATATATAACTGATTCTCTGACAACTTTGTACTCTGAGATAGACTATACATATACTAAATTTCCACTGGTGATAAGCAATTTATGGTAGGACAGAAAAGAGAAGATAGGGGGAGGAAAACTAAAATTTGATCTTAGGTAGTATTAACTGGTTCTTATGCCAGTGGTTCTAACTGGGGACAATTTTGCCCCTAAGAGGGGACATCTGGCAATCTCTGAAAACATTTTTGGTTGTCGCAACTGACATTTAGCTTCTAAATGCTCTTGGCATCTAGGAGGTAGAGGCCAAGGATGATTCAAAGCATTGTACAATTCACAGGACAGCACTCCACAATAAAGAATTATCCAGTCCAAAATGTCAAATGTGCTGAGCCTGAGAACTCAGCTCTGTGCTAACTGGGATGTACTAAGCAACAAGTATGGTACTTTGGCCAGGCTGAGTTTCTACTCAGAACAAATCTAGTAATGACTGTGCTTGCTGCTGGGCCATTAAAGGTAAGACAGTCATTTAAGTATAAAAGTATAAAATAATTAAAGCACAGTTAAAATGTAAATTTTATATTAAATATTCATATCAAAATCATACATTTTCTTAACTGCTAAAGTATTAATGGCTGCCAACAACTTGACTTCATAATAAAGAATACACATATTTAAAAACTATTAAGTCAGCTTATACTCATCTTTGGGGTTTTTAAATTAAAAATACTTTATTGGGCCGGCTGAGTTGCTCAGCTGGTTAACAGCTCGCTTGGGAGCGCCAGCTCTGAGCAGCAGGGCCGCAGTTTGGATCCCATGTTGAGGGCCAGTGACGTTGCACTCCCTACAGCTAAGATGATGAACAACAACAGCTCAACCTGGAGCTGGGCTGCTGTGAGTCGCTGGCGACAGCATAGGCTGCGGTGAGCTACGTTGAGTGACTGGCAGCAGGCGAGAGCTGCCGTGAGCCACTGTGAGCGGCCGACCAATGACCGGCGACCAATTGCCTCACCCAGGAAGAGTGCAATGATCATACCAACATGGATCTGTGAAGCAACACCCTCCACTAGACTGAAGAACAAAACAGCAATTTGTCTACCTGTGTGTTCGCCTTCCCCGATTCTCCAACACTATTTCCCTCCCCCAATTCCCCAATAAAATCTTTCAAAAAAAAAAAAGAAAAAACTTTATTAAAAAAATTACATAATGTGAATAAGACGATAAGGTGTAAGAGTTAGAGGGAGATGGATAATCTCTAAAGCTGGGTATTTTTATTGAAAAATAGCCTATTAAGAATAACACCTAAAGTTATTGAGCATTCATCATGTATCACATACTGTTCTACACACTTTACGTGTATTAATACTTTTTTTTTTTTTAAAAGATTTTTATTGGGGAATTGGGGGATGGGAACAGTGCTGGGGAATTGGGGGGAAAGGGAACAGACAAGTTGCTGTCCTTTTGTTCTTCAGTCTAGTTGTGGAGGACGTTGCTTCACTGGCCCAAGTTGGCACCATCATTGCGCTCTTCCCAGGCAAGGTACATCAGTCGCCGGCTTCTGGATGGTCGCTCACTCGGCTACTGGCCGCTCACGCTGGCTGCTGGCTACATACGGTAGCCCGTGGCAACCCACTCCCACAGGGGCTGCAGCATACGCCGTCGCCGGCGACTCACAGCAGCCCAGCTCCAGGTTGAGCTGTTGTTCAGCATTTTAGCTGTAGAGGGCAGTGTCACTGGCCCTCATATGTGGGATCCGAACCCGGGCCCTCTGGCATCCCAAGCCAGTTATTAACCATCGCGCCACTCGGCCGGCCCACGTGTATTAATACTTTAATCTTCATTACCACTTTAAGAGATACTATTATTCTTCTTCCATTAGGAAGCTAAGGTAGAGAGGTAAATACTCACCCAGTATCACACAGCTAGGATCTGACTAAACCAGGATTAAAAAACCCAAACCAATGTGGCTCTCGAACCTACTCTCTTAAATAGCACGCTGTGCTGTCTCTTAATCTACATACACATGTTAAATATAATTTCTTGCATAATGAGGTGATACTGTTTAAACTAACGTCACTGAATTAAACTGTTAACTTCATTGCTATTGATCCTCTTAGATAATAAACAATTCGAAATTAAAATGTATCACAGGTAAATCCAAACAAGATTAAACCACAAGTACAGTGCAAAACAGGCCCTCTGACAGGACCTTTTAGTTGGTCACATACCTCTGGATCATCTGTGTAATCAAACATTCTGAAGATGACCCTTGGCATCGGGTACACTGAGTCTTCAGTGTGAGGAGGTGGTGTAAAGGGAGGCAAGTTGTGCTGCAGTGCTTCACACAGGATGCTGTCAAAGGCAAGATAAGGCCTTAGGATGTGCCGCTCCTGCCAGTGATCCTTTTTCAATTTCTGAATCTGGGCCCAGAGGCAATCTAAATACTAAAGACATTAATTTTTAATCATTAATATATATTTGGAGGCTAGAAGAAATAACACGCTGAGTAGACAAAACCAAAAATCACCACTTCTAAAATACAGGGTACAAAAATAAGTTAACTTGCAATTAAATACAGTACAAAGGAACGGTGCTAAGTTTTTATTTTAATTACTATATAAACTCATCTGTCTGAGGCTGTTATCTCTTACATTTTTCAAATTGAGCATTTAAAGAAAAAAAAAAGTGAACTCTGACATCTGGAATCCCCAGAACAAGGAATGTTTCAATTATATTCTAACATTTATTAAAGCTCCACTATATATATGCCTAGGGCTATGATGAAGTAGACCCAATATGAAACGTTGAAACCTCGCTAAGGTATGTAAATGGTGTGATCTGAATAAATCACAGAGATAAGAATCTCTTGGAGAGCTGACTGTGCTTGTATCACAAGAGACTGAAATCAATTTACCTCTTCTTGTGGATGTGGCTTCTCAGCAGTCCACACTTGTAACATGGGCACATGCGTCTTTTGGCGTCTTCTAAAGATAAAAGTGATAAAAGATGTTCAGTTGCATTCTTAATTAACAAAATGCAAATTAAAGCAGTGAAATATATTTTTACCTATCAGATTGGCAGATTTTTGATAATGTACTCTTATTACCAAAATGTGGGTAAATATTGCCATTTCAAACACTGATATAATCTCTTTAGAAGATCTGGAAGAGTATAATATCTTTAGAAAGCAATTTGATTAAATCTACCAAAATTAAAATTGTTCAAAGACACTTCAACACAGTCCCTAAGAATTCACATCCCCCACAAATATAGTTGCACATATATAAAAATAGTCACCGAAACACTGTTTGTAACAGCAAGAGACTAGAATTAACCTGAATATCTACCAACAGGGGACTAGTTAAAGAAATTATAGTACATTAAAAGAGTGGAATATCACATAACTGTTAAAAAGAATGAAGTAGAGTTCTATGTCTTTAATGCAACAAATCCAAGTTATATTAAGTCAGAAACAAGTGAAGAACAGTTGTTACTACCATATGTATAAGAAAGGGAAAGGACATATAAGAGTACTCAAATGCTAGGATATTTAAACTCTTATTTTTATTCCTTGGAAAACATCTACCATTTTTTTAAAGAAAACCAGTATAACTTTTCAAAAATATAAAAACATTTTAAAAATCTCACATTTAAAGGTAGCTTAACATAATAAAAAAGCCGATTTCTATCTTTAGACTTCTTTTAGCTTTATTTGTAAATGACTAAATAGATATTAGCAATATCCAAAAAAGTATCTATGAATAGATAGAAAATGAAACTTATAACAAAATTATTCTGAAAGAACTTAAGGGGATATAAAACCTTTACCTAGCTGCTGAGTAATGAGGCCTAAGTTTACTACTAAGGCCTGCTGTTAGTATTAAATGTTAAGGACCACTGTTTTAAGGACCCGGTTTAGGGTTAACTTACATGAAATAAATATATTGTATGTTGTCCACCTGCGGATGTCAAAATCTTTCTCTCAAATATTGTGATTCAGTAGGTCTGGGCTGGGGCTGGAGCATATTTAAGTATCACAGGTGATTCTTAGGCACACTAATATCTGAGAGCCCCTGTGTTAAGATGTTTTATGCCTTTGCAAAACATGTACAAAAGCAGCTGTTTCCAACTCCTTTGCATGGAAGAAGCAAGCAACATATTTGATTACTCTGAGGTCTCAGTAAGTTACAACAGTAGGGTATGAGATTACCTAGGGAAAGCCGTAGGGAACTCTACAGCTTATTTTTGAGACATGTAACTCAAATGGTATTACTAACAGATAAAATATAACACATTTATGATAATATCAGGAAGCTGTCCTTTACCTAAACAACAAAGAGAACTATGAACCAAGCCCTTACTTAAGATAGTTTTCAGTGTTGGCAAAGATGCGGTCCATCTCTGCATCCTTCTTCTCATACAACTCCTTCCCAACCCAGGGCAAAGACGACAGAAATGCATACACGTACCAATCCCGTCGTACCTAAAGAATTTTTTAAAAGTTTAAAATGTGTGCTAGTTAATTTTCATTCATGTTGTATTTCCTTTTGAATGAAATCCTATGGAAGCTACTTGACGGGGCCTTAAGTAAGACATTGGGCTCATTTGGAGTACGAGCATTTTGTATTTGTACGAGTATCTTACTAGATAGAATCATTTGAATTAACATACAGATGTCCTGAGAACACACCAGTATGCCAGTTGACTTAGCTTTTAGATATTAAGGATTTAAAGCGTGACAACCTGTTATTTATCTATTTCTAAGGGTTACCAGTGAAAAATTCCTGGTATTATATGGACAAGACATAGCATAAGGGGTTTTCTTACCTGAGGTACATCTTCTTCCTGAGTTACACTTACAAAATTTTCAAACATAGCAACCATTGATGGGGCTGCAATGACGTGACAATTCACAAGATCAGATAAAAAACGAACCTGTTGGGGAAAACAATTCCTATTAAATTGAAATACCCTTTATAATAACTACAAAACGAGCAATCGTGTAATGATTGAAACCACAGATCTGAAAAACTACAGCCCAATTCTAGCCTGCTGCCTGGTTTTTTTTGCACAACCTGAGAACTACAAATAATTTTTTAGGTATATAAATGCCTGAAGAAAAAAAACACCCAAAGAATACTTTATGATTCATACAAATTATACGAAATTAAATTTCAGTGCCCACAGTAAACTTGCACTGGAACACAGCCATGTTCATTCATTTATACTCGTATATAGTCTATGGCTGCCTCTGCGCTACAACAGCTGAGTAGTTGTGACAGAGAAAAGGACATGAATCTGTGCCTTTACAGATTTCCATTCTATGTTACACTAAGAACCTAGAGTGTAATATTCTAGCTACTTCAACCTTTAATCTTCTTTTCAGTTTGGCTGTGAAAAAATTTTCACTGGACTACAGAAATGGAAACTTCTGAACAGACATTTATTGGGTGTCCTTGGTGTGCCACTGCTAAGCACTATTAAAGTCCCTGTCATATGCTCATAGTCTAGTGGGACAAGCATAATCTCAACCCAAAGAGATGACTCCTATACTAAAAGGAAAACGAGAAGTCTCTAGGAACAGAGACAAAGGGAGGAGGGGAAAGCATCACGAAGGAGGACAATTGGGCTAGGTCATAAAGGATGAGTGAAGTATGCTCAAGCGGAGAGCAAGGGAAGCATCCTAGGCAGAGGGGTTCAAAAACAAGGTGTGTTCAGGGATCTGCAAGTCATTTTGATATAGTTGGAAGTTGTATGGGAGGCAAGAATAGAGAAACAGATGAAGGGTGAGGCTAAGGAGACTGGACTTAATCTTAGAGCCTGATGGATGGGTGTCCAAACTTTGATTGTGTACTCAGTAGAAAAGAATTTGATCACTTACCCCAACACATGTATATTTATTTATAATATACACTTGCCCACTGTCAATCTATGGCTTAGGCATTAGTAAGGCTTAATTCCACTTGCATTTAAGATAATAATTCTAATATTAACTTTCTGCAACCCAATGAATCATCTTGTGCACCAGGCTTTTAAGACCATCAATGGTAGCCAATGGGAAGGAACTGAGGTTTGTAACCTGTACCCAACATGAGTAGAACCTAGTTACAGAAAGACCGCTCTGGTGCCACTGTAGAAGATAAAGGGAAAGGCAGGGAATCTGGATGCAAAAAGATCAGTTAGAGGCTAAGACAGTAGGAAGAGGGCATACAATTCCCTGGAGACAAAGGAGAAGGGACATGCCAGAGAGAAATTTAGGAGATATAACTGATGGGCTTGGGGAATGCTTATAGCAAGAGGGAGCAAAGGGAAGACAAAAACTAATGCTCAGGTTTCTAGATGGGTTGTCCAGTAGACAGCAGCTACTGTGTGTGGGGTGGGGAGAGGACAGAAGGAAAGAAGGTATGAATAACACATTAATTTAGGGACTTCCAGGCAAGATGCCTTAGGGCTATCCAGGTAGTATTTGGAACACAGGTCTGGAGCTCGGGAGAATGGGCAAAGCAGGAGATACAGATTATAGGTTTGAGGGAGAGGAGGGTTTTCAAAATAAAGGTGGTTTATTGAAGCTTTGAGAGAAAAAAAAATGCTTCAGAAGAGAGTATTTAAAGAAAAGTGAAGTGAGGATAGAATCCTGGGAAACACAAACAGTTAAGGGGCTAAAGAAGATGACCGGTAAAAGGAGCCAGGGGAATAGCAGGTAGGTAGCAGTGGGAGGTCCTGAAAAAAGCGGTGCTGCACAAACCGAGAGATAAGAAAGTAGTGTAAAGAGTCATGTGCTGCAGGGAGGTGGACTAGGATTTAGAAACGTCTGGACTTGGTAATAAGATCTGTGGAACCTTTAATGAGAATAGTTTCAAAGAGCGGCTGTTGTGGTGAATGGGGAACTGTATTTTAAGAGAAAGGATAAATTACGTGGTTGTAGTTCACCTTTCCCCTCCATCTCAACACTAAATCATAATATACTAAAAAAATAACTTACCAAATATACAGCTTCATTATAACTGTTTGCTTTCAAAGATTCTTTAAGTTGACGAATCATAGCTTCTACAAACTCTCCACCAAAGTTGTAATTCCTGGCATTCAGCAGTCCAACTAATGTTGTATAAATTGTTAACTTCTCAGGTAACAGACGTGCACTGATTTGAGAACCCAGTACAACAAGAAAACCCCAAAACAACAGCATTACGTTAAGTTGCTTAATTTTGTATTATATACACCTGTCATCATTTTATTAACTTTGGAACAGGATTACTTTTAGCTGTTTTTAAAACTACTTCAGAAAAGGCATAAATATTGAGTTACAGACATAGCCCCCACAATTTTTCATTTTAATTCTAGTTAGTTAATCCAGGAGTTAAAAAAGTAAAACATTCTAATTTTAAATCATCAAACTGAAATAAATATAACTAATGCTAGATCAGCTTTTAGTCCAACATGTTTAGTGGAACTGAATAGCAGTTCTACAGAAAATGGTTTCCATGGGGAAATACCTGGGAAATACTGGGTAAAACAAGTTTCTTTAATGCAGAATCATTAAGGGGGAGATATAGTACTTCAGCATTTTTAAACTTAGCTGACCAAATGTCTTAAGATCAGAATTCCACTTTGAGAAATACAAGAAAAACTTCAGAACTAAAATTAGTTTCAACTAAGTTTCTATCGGTTAAATTGTTGAATTTTTAACATGGTACTCTGATACAGTAAGATTTCTTCACATTCCAGTTTGCTTACTCCAAGTTTGTTTTCATTAAAGCTATCTGAAAATTAGGAAAGAGGATTACAGTAATAAACCTTTGGAAAAAGCAAACGTTGCTTCCTAATTAGGCAGCCTTTAGAAATTAGTTAAAAAAGAAAAGCAAATAAGAATTCATGATCATTAAGATTCTCATATACTTTTTCTGTTTTCTCAAGGTAACTAGCAGGGTATTAGGGGCAATTTATGTTTTAAAAAGATATTTGCATTCAACCCCCACCCCCCACACAAACCCACAAAAGCCATGGCTTCCGTTAGAGTTTAAGAATAAATCTACTCCATTCTAATAAATGCTTTCAAAACAGAAAACATCTTATGGATAACAACAGCAAAATGGTTTAGTAGTTTCTTAGTCTAAGAACATATCTTCCTCAATATTAGTTGGATTCCTTTTAAAAATTGTAACCTACATTATTTGTACTTTATGAGAGGTTAAAATAAAATCTACTGATCGTTTCAATTTGTATACACATTTTTAAACTTCAAAAATGAACTACAGGAATTAAAAACATTATTTTAAAAATAATTTAAATGACAACTTAAAATACCTAACAGATAATTCACAATTTAATGTAAAGTACAAAGATGTCTTTATCTAGAAGTCATAACTACCTACTTCTTCGCAAGGCATACAATCCAGAGTGATCAATGTCTATCTTGAGAGATGAGAAAGTCTAGAATGCTAATTCTACCATTGGCAGAGGCTGTTTCATGATTCCACGTGAGACTTTTCCCACTTTAGTTTCCTTACAAATTAAACGCTGATCCTTGTTCTAGCTAACTAACTTAGGAAGATTATTATGCCTATAATAGCTGCAAAAGCTTCTTCAGTCTTCCAAGAAGGGCTATTACTTGAGTGGCCAGTTCTCAAATTTGTTTAGTACTAATGGTTAAAAACATAAATTAAATTCTATTATGTATATTTAAAATGTACATGCATAAAAGAAAACCTCTGAATGTGAACATGTCTACTTTCTCACTTAAAAACGGTCAATGCAAATGGTTCTAAGATTCCAAGAAACAAAACAAGGAAAAATGCTCAAATTTAGTTCTGCTTATCTCTAAGAAAGAAAGTGTTAACCAAAGAGCCCAAGGTCATTTCATTTGTACAAATCTCCCGATAGAAGGAAAGCTAATCACTTATAGAACATACACACATCTTTTGAACATTTCCCAAAGCATTTAAGAGTAGATAATACATTATCACCTGGATTCATAAATCTTTTGCATACATACACTGTACAAAGAAGCCTTAAGATCTTGCTCTTGTAGTTAGGAAGATCAGCTTCCAAAACACCAGCCAAGCCTTCTAGGTTGCTCTCCAACGAGCAGGCACTCTGTAGAGGACAGCATATTAAATATCTGTTAAGTATTCAGCAATTAGTGAATTAAAATTTTCTAGGTGATCATAAAAATAGTCTTACATGCACAAGGCACTAAGACAGGTGTAGCATAAACCTATTCAGATAGTTATTGTTCTTTAGGTACCCACGAAAAGGAAATGAATGAAATTTTAAAAATAAGCAGTCTAAGACAGCAGAATAACTATTAGAAATGAGGCCATCATGGGCTTTATTCTCTAATTCACTCACTATATGACTCTGGGTAAATTTCCTCAAGTATCCAGGACTTGTTTGGTTCTTCATTTATAAAGTGAGAGGACTATTCCATAATATCTCTTTTAAGACTCATATTCTATGAAAACTACTAAAAACATTTAATTCTCAATTATATGCATCCTAAGGGTTTTAATATGCATTTACTTCGGCCATGCAACCTTTGCCTAAAAGGGATCAAGTTTTCAGCTGATGAAATTAATCAAAGCACAGTCAACTATAATCCTAAACCCATCACAGTCTGTGCCTATTTTTGTGCATACCTTTTCTCCTACTTTGCATATTAAAGATTCCAAATGATCTTCAGTTTCATTTGCATCAGAGGTCTTTCTCCTTTTGTGAGGCTGTCCGCCTGTTTCAATGATGTAAAAAATTGACGTTACATGATAAATCCACTTTCACAAATTTTATTTAACTTTTTTTAATGCTATAATCTTTTCTACCAGAAGCCCTAGTTTTTACACACAGAAGCTCTTAACTGACACTCCACTTCTCAGACTAGGCTGGATTAACCAACAGTCTCTATTCCCAGGGCCACTATAATAACTCCAGGAGACCAGCATTATTTATGTTCAAGTTTGTGTGATTAGTGCCCCACAGAGCTCTATCAATGCAGCAGTCCTGTCCATTTCTGGACAGACAGGAATAGCACTAACCACTCGCAGGCAAAGCACTCTCTGTCACATCATGTATTGCTACTCCCATTTAAACTTCAGCTATTTACTGTTCCTCAGTTGCTTATTCCTAAAACCTGTGTCAGCGGTACTCATTATTGTAATAATGAAAATTATTGTGTAAGCCGAAAAAATATGGGGGTAAAACCAAGGTGTATGCTTTGGAAAGATTAGGGGAAAAAAGCTTTTGTAGTAGGTATGAAGAGGAAAAGTTCAAAAGATGGGTAAAGGAGCATAAAACATGATCCCTCACTAGCTTTAAAAGTAATTGCGCTCTTAACTCTTCAAATAGTAATTTTGGTTCTCTAGATCACACAGCACTAGGGTACAGATAATTCCAAGCAATGGGAATTACGATCAGCAGATATATACTCAAAGAAATGTCTTCAGCACTAAAGCAAATAATTGGTGGGGCGGGGAAGTGTTTTATGACTCCTGCTTTAATTGGCTCTTGGTTCCCTATTTTTACTGATTCTATTATGTTCAAAAACCGTACCATTCAAAGACTCTTTAAAAAAAACCCAAACCTACTATTCTGAAATCATTACCAATTATCTATCTGTCCTTTTGATTGCTAAAGAATCCAAGTTGAATGAAGTTGTGCTAAAAATCAACAGTAAGCACTGGACTGTCTATTATTCAGACTCTTGCTGTTAATTATCTCTTACCATTTTGTTTAAAACCGTAACACACCCACCTTACCTCCTGTTATGGAATAATAACATAAGGCTTAAAATTTTTAAATAATAGTGTTAAGTATGGAACATAATGCTGTTGCTGCACGTGATGTTGGCTAGTCTTCCAATATAATTCAATTTTTGACTTCAGCCAAGTTAGATTAGGATGGCATGTGTACAAGGAAGCAATAGTCTGTAACTGTGCTGAGGGCCTGTATTAATAATGAAAATCAGCAGTTGGATATAGTGTTACTCAGGAGCAAGTTATACATAACTTCAATCTTCTCCAGACTTGCACAGCCAAAGGAACTAAACCATTTTTACAGTTTATAATCACTTCCTTGCCAAAGAAACATGGCTTGAAATACTGGGGATGCCAAAAAAATGTAGTATACAAGTGGACACTTTGGTCGATGTTGCTCAAGCAGTAGTTCGCCATAATCAGAAGTGGATGCTGATAGAATCACTTTGAGCACTTTTTATAATTGCAGAAGACAAATGTGACTTGTATTCATCATTTGCTATCAGTATATATTGAGTGTTGCAATTTTAATAGTTGTTTCCTTTCTTAAAATGTGTATACATTTTGGCACCCCCTATATGTGGTGATTATCATAAAATACAGCACTTGGCTATTCTAACTTGGGATATTAAAAGTTGCTCCAATGACTGAAATGATCTTCGTGTACCACTTGAACATATGCTGAATAAAACCAATCTATGCAGGCAGGACCAGATGAAAGTATTCTGAAAGGCCACAGAATAAACCACTCCGCTTTGACTTCCCAACCTCTTAGTTGTCATTACGATCTGGCTTAAATAACCACTGAATATAGTTTTGAAGGGGTAATGCCATAAAAAATACAACATGCACGCAGTGTGACAGCTGAGATGTATTCTTGGAGATACTGCCTGTGTCAAGTTGTGGACACGTGTGGCACAGTGGGATCAGGGACCTTGATTCTAAAGCATACATGAGACCTAAGTCATGGGATCTATAAAGGTTCCACAACCTGAAGAGCCAACTTTCACACAAAGGTCTTCTATTTTCAAGATTTATTCATTAAAAAAAAATATGCATATTTGATGCAATGTTTGTATAAGCTATCAAGCCACATTAAAAAGTAGCCTTCTCAACTGATTCTCAACTGGGTGAGATTTTGTTCTTTAAGGGCCACCTAGCAATCTCTGGTGACAATTTTCACCGTCACAACTCAGGGAGTGCTATTGGCATCCAGTGGGTAGAGACCAAGGATTCTGCTAAATATACTACATTGCACAAGACAACTCCCAACCACAAAGAATAACCCAGCCCAAAGTGTCAACAGTGCTGATGTTGAGAAACTCTGTTCTAGAAAGCAGGATACTAACAGTGTTCTTCAGAACCAGATTCCAGTAAGGATGGGAGAATGCACACACTGAAAGCCCAGCTGAAGAGCAGTTTGTTGCTTTAAAACTTAACCACTGCCCACTTCTTTCTGGCCCATCTACTTTGCCAATCCTTTATTCCACATCCCACCTCACAACTTCCCTAAATTGACTATCCAGCTGGTTCATTCCAGTATCAGCTTGGAATCTACCCCAGTCTTTCGAGCAACCCCCCCAGATCCTATTGTAAGCTTGAAAAGGGGAAAATGATGCTGCAGGGAGAGAAGTTTCTGAAGAAAAACTAGAAAATACAAGCTGCAACACCTCTTTTTTCTCTTCTTGCCATTTTGACTGTCTCAAAAAACAAGTTTTAGTTGGGGAATGGAAGGAGGAAGAAAGTATTAAGAAGTAAGAGATGCCACTCTCTCACCTGACATTCAAGAGAATATAAAGGGAGGAAGGAACTACAGACACAATCTGAACTCATGGACAGTAACAGTATATTGAACTCAGAAGAGAACCTGGGTGAGAGCATGGGGAAGTAGAATAAAACGCCTTAATTAAGAATAAAATTTGGGGAATTAGCTGAATGTTTTCACGTACCCTCAAGAAAACGTATTTATGGTAGCTCCCAAAGCAAGAACAGATTTTATATTAACATGGAACCATGTAGAAGTTTTGCAATGTAAATTAGTTACATTGCCACTACTCAGGGTCCCTTGGCTAGCATAGAAAAGAGAAGCAGGTCTCTATTAAACCCATCTAAAAGGATCTTAATACATCAAATCATTTTTTCCTCCCTAAGGTGATTCTAATTTTATATGGGTACTTTGTACTACATCTTATATCCTTATTTAGAATTAGATACGCTATAAGAAGTTTTAGACCCACAAAGTCAAAAACAAAAATCAACAAGTAAAAGAGAAAGTACCATATTTGCCGGCGTATAAGACGACTGGGCGTATAAGACGACCCCCTAACATTTCCACTCAAAATACAGAGTTTGTTATATACTCGCCGTATAAGACTACCCCCTCTTCCGCACACCTTCCACACACCAAATAAAAGGTAAAACAATATCAGATTTTATTTGGCCCACTGAAGTGCAAACAAGCGTATTGTATTTCGTGTCACCACATAACCGTTTTGGCGATGTTGAGCCACCATGTCTGCTACATGTTTTTCGAGTTCTGGCCAGTGTGGGGTGCCTCTTCTTAATGCACACTTACCCCTTGGCATACTCTTTAATGCTTTCTCATTTGATTTCCAGTCCCGAACCATCTTTTCTGTTACTCCATATTGTCTTGCAGCAGCACAATTATTATTTTCCTTAGCAAAGTTTATAACTTTCAGTTTAAAATTTGCATCAGACTTCTTTCTTTTGGCTGGTGCCATGATAGGGATGATAGGGGTTTGACTGGTCGACATTTTCTATGCTGTACTGTACAATGGTGCAGTATTGTGGTTGGCTGTTGGCTGTATACAAAGCCTGATTTGATTGGTCCCTGCTCCCTGTTTGCCCGCCCTGTCACTATAGCAGTCTGGTCCACCCTTGCATCAGCATCTCCCTGGGACCTCACTAGTGCGCAAGTGCGAGCTCTTCAACATTCTAACAGGCACCATGATAGCGCAAAATCGCGAATCTTCAATGCATATGTAAAGAAATATACGGTAACCTGAGTTTACCACACTCGCAAAATCGCACACAGCCGACCATACACCCAGTATGGTATCGCGATTCGCGATTTTGCGCTATCATACTGGGTGTATGGTCGGCTGTGTGCGATTTTGCGAGTGTGGTAAAATCGCATAACAGCAAAATCGCATAACAGCCGAGCATACACCCAGCAGCGCTGCTGATGCCTGAACGGTATGTGGAATGAAGTGGGCGGGCATCGGGAGGCCACTATGGCACAGGGCAAGCACTATGGGCAGTCTATCTGAAGTGTACCTGGCGTATAAGACGACCCCCCACTTGGAGGCATATTTTTCAGGGCCAAAAAATTGTCTTATACGCCGGCAAATACGGTAACAAAAACCTGTTGGTAAAGTACCTTGCTTCTGCAGACTTAAATAAAGCAGAGGTAACCTTCACTTCTGAAACAAGCTATACTCTTCCTCAGAGTAACAAATCCCTTCACTTTTATTCATTTTATTTTTCTATAGTTAAGCAAAAAAACCAGTCAGTGTAAAAGATACGGATCTAATTCTAAGTAGCTTAAATGGGGTTAACGTGGATTTTTGGTGAAGATGATGGACAATCTAAATACTTCCTTAAGAAAACAAAACAGTGTATTGTCCTATGCATATCCTATAATAACTGAAAAACTTCAACACTATTATTAAAAGAGGTTCTAAGAAATAAGTTAGATTTAGCACTCAACCAGCATTCATACACATTAATTTCCACTTAGCATTTCCTCTTCTTGTCTATAAACTGACCTCTAGGCGAACTTCATTGGTATAGTCTCCTAACTGTCTCCCTGGATCCTGAATATTCTAGTCTCAACACATTTTTAATTAAGATACAATTTTAAATTACCCTCTATGAGCTGATCCTCTGTTACCTCTCTGAACTTATCTCCTATAACTCTGCCCCTCACCCATTCTGCTCCAGCAACACTGGCCTCCTTGCTGCTAGCCTTAAGGTCTTCGCTCTCATGATTCCCTATGCTTAGGCCACCGCTTTCTCCCAGATAGCCAGCCATCTGGTTTGCTCCCTTACCTGCTGAGGATGACTTTCTCAGTGAGGCCTTCCCTAAGCAACCTATACGAAACAGCAATTCCCCCGCCGAGCAGTCTCTATCCCTCTTTACCCAGTTTTATTTTTCTCCGTGACACTTATCACCATATGATATACTATATTGTACGTGATTGTTTCCTGTCTGTAAAAGGGAGGCTCCATCTTTATGTTGTCCATTGCTGTACTGCCAGTAGTTAGGACAGTGCTTGGCACTATTGAGTATTTGTTGAGTGATTATATCTAGTCAAGCATATGGAAAGTCATGGCAGTCAGTGACTGATTAAGAGCTGACAATAATCCAGAAATGCTCTGACATATCTATTAAACTATGATTATAATAATTCAGCCTATTTAAGTCTTCAATATTTAAGCTTCTAATATTTCTAATTAAAAAATTAATAGATGCCTAACTAAAAGTACACACACACACACACACACACACACACTCTCTCTCTCTCTCTCTGGTTTCTCTTCAGATCGTATAAGTATTTTGCCTTTTAAAAGGAAAGTAAATAAAATATTTGATTGAGACCACTGTTTAGGGTAAACCCTAGCTAATCATTATCCAAATTGTTGCAATTTACAAAATTCCAGATTTGGTGTAGTGTCCAAGAGGAACTTTAACTGCCCCTCCATTACTAAATTATTCACCATAGTAAACTTCGATTAATTAACTCCTTATTTTACTTTTTTGGTTTTTACTTATTTATTCTGAGGTACCTGCAGCAAGACCCAAATGGACAATGATTTAGCTGCCAGCTGGTACTAAAAGAAGCTAACTCCCAAGAAAGTTATGGGAGCATCCCAATAACCACAGCAAAAACCGCATTTCTACAGATTCAAATCCAGTTTTCCAGGTAGCCCTCTGGAAATATTTTCTCTCCCTTTAGGGATACTCTAGAAAGGAAAAGGAGGAGGACTGGAGAAAAGCAAGTGTGAGAAAAGAAAATGGAAAAACTTTAAAAGGCTCAAGTTCTCTAAATACCAAGTGATGACTTCAAGCATATTAGCTTCTGATTAATCAAATTCAAAGCATATGAAAACTGTATTTTCTGTGCCCCAAATGTACATTATATAAAAAACTTCCTGTGTTAAAAAAAAAAAAGGCATGAAGCATAATAATACCTGTGTAGTGAAGAGAACCCTGGACTTGCACTCAACTGCTAGCTGACTCCCTGTCAACTACACTAAAACTCCAGGCCTTTAGGTGTCAGATGAGAACACTGGACTAGAATATCTTTTCAAGCCATGCCCTAACAGAAATCTGATGTTTCATTGTTAAAACGAAATATGCGTGATTTAGTTTTACCTACCCCTAACTGCCCCCAGCATTCAAGGAGAGAAAAACATTAGTGGTGAAAATTCAATTAAAAATTGTTCTGTATTTTTCTTACATCATTGACATCTGCCAATGTTTATCACCTCTTAAGCATTAACAGATGATTAAATAAACATCATCATGAGCCATTCATTACAAGCATAACTTCACTTAACCATCACAAAACCGTTGCGAGGTATGCATCATCTTCTATATTACGTCTACGTTACAGACTAAGGCTTAAAGAGGTGATATTATCTGAGCAACATCACGAAGTAAATGGTAAGGTCTAGCTTTGAACTTAAACCCTCTGATTGCAAAGTCTGGCCTCTTAAACAATACATTATTTTCAAAGACCTATATCCTAAAATATTAATAATAGAGTTACTCTTACTTTCTTTTATTGTGGATCTGTGTTCTTGACTGACTTTTGCAATGTAAACATCTTTTTTCTATTTTTAACTAGCAAAATTATTCTTGGTTTTTACGACACCACCATGATCCCCATGCGCACAACCATCCAAATGGACTCGGCAACTCCTGATGGAAATCTCTGAGAACGCTCTAGTTACTTTTCCTGCACTCTCTTACACGAGGGAAATACAATTACAGCCAGTTCAAAATCTAACATAACAACCTGCATTTGTTTATCAGTGACCTCTTTGGTGTGGATAAGAGACAGGTCTCTTTCCCTGAAGCCTGAAAGAAGGCAAATCAACGATGACCGGTAGGGGAGCAGAGCTCACAAAGCGATTCTTCAGATCTCTCTCAGTCACGGCTTTGTTCCCCTTCCTTCAGTTGTCTGTGAGAGCCCTTTACAGGTGCAGTTTGAGGGTCAAAATGAGACACTGGGGCTAGGGAGTCCCTGTCACTGTTCCCAAGAGGCGGCCGCACAGACACACGTAAGTACTTCTCTGCTCGGCGGAGCTAAGGACCAAGTCCTGACAAGTCATTAGAGACCTGGGGGGCCCCCAGGCCTCTAATCGGACAACGACTAAAGAAGCTGGGGCGAGGGGGGTAAGCAGGGGCTTTCCAGAGGTCGCCCGGCCACACTCCCGCTGTGCCACCCCCCTTCCCTCCGTGGCTCCCGAACGCGCCCGGGTGGGAAGGGCTTCCCACGAGATTCGAAACGAAGGAAGCCAAACGCCGGCACCCACCTGGGCGCGGCCTCGTCGGCCAGGCCCAGGACACTCACCGTCGTTCTCGTCTCTGTGCCGTCGCCGAGACATGCCGCACGCCGGTGCGCTGCCGAGCCCAGACGCCGGGCGGGAAGCGCGGCCGGAACCGTCGGAACGCCGGCCCGCCGGAGGACAGCGGCGAGGCGCGCGGAGTGGGCGGCACGCAGGCGCACTTGCTCGCGACGGTTCCCGGAAGAGTAAGGAGAGGCGGTAGGGTGGGCTCGGCAGGTTCGGTGGAGTCTAGAAGATACTCAGGCCGCGGATATCTGGTCCGCACGCCACCGCCCCCTCGGGCTTCCTCCGCCTCTCAGTTGCTTCTCACTCCCGCCTTTCAATGTAAGTCCTTCCGGGGACACGCAGATAGCGCCGCCTCTTCAGTCAGCCAAAGCCCGGGGAGGCGACCCACAACTGGAGGCGGGTGATCTAGAAGGGACGCTTTAGTCCCCGCCTCAGCTTCAGACCCGCCCTCGGGGTCTCGTAATAGTTTTCCCGGCGGCCCTTTCGCTAACGTCCTCGAAGACTTCCGGAGCGAGGTGACGTATCGAGCGTTCCTTCCTACGTAAACGCAAGGCAGGGGTGGCGGTTCGAGGGTGGTGAATAGTGTTACTTGCTAGGCGGAGAAGGTTCAAGGAAGAAAGATCTAAGAAGGGATCGGGACTGGCGGGTACGTGCTCATCTTACTCCCACTGCCGGGCCTTTGCCTCCTCGGGAAAGCTGGACGGAGAAATTGGGCCAGGCCCAGTGCTCCATTTCGGTAAATGGAACCGTCCATTCGATTGCTTAATCCAAAAATGTCGGTAGAAATCATTCTTGGCTCCTTCTTTTCCTTTACTTCCTACATAACAAACTATTCGTAAACCCTGCTGGCTCTACTTTCAGAACAAATCCAGAATCAGACCACGTTACTCCTTTGTTTACAGCTCTCCGATGATTTGCCATTGCAAACTCCATACCCTGACCTCCAGGGTTGTACTCTCTCATCACTATGCTCCAACCACTCCAACTTTCTTCCTGTACCTCCAAGAAGTCAAGCTTATTCCCTCTTTAGGAATTGATACGCTTTATTTCTTTGGCCTGAAGATCTCTGCTTCTAAATCTACATAGATGGTTTGTTTTTTAGGTTTCAGTTCAAACATCAGGTCCTTAATGAAACCTTCCCTGGCTACCCAATGTTTTATTTCATTCAACAAATATATTAACATTTAACACCTCCTGTGTGCCAGGCAGTGTTCTAGATGCTGAGGTTGCAGAGGTGAACAAAGGAAAATCCCTGCTTTCTTGGTGCTGATGACCCATTTAGGAATGGGCAAAGATAACAGTGCAATCAGAGGTAGTGAGCAAAGGGAGAGTAGTAGAAATTGAGATTAGAGCGGTGGTGGGAGGGGGGCTTTGTAAGTACTTTGGACTTTATCTGGATAAATTGAGAAGCCTTTGGACACTAATCTTACTTTTTAAGTTACTTCTCTGTCTCCTACAGGAGGAGGGCAGTTAATCTATTTTAGTAATTCAGTCAAGCAGTGATGGTGGCTTGAATGGGGTTTGTAGTGAAGGTGGTGTGAAGTGGTCTGATTTGGTTGTATTTCAAAAGGCAAAATTGATAGTATTTTCTGAGGGACTGGAAGATGGTCTTGAAAGAATAAGGAGTCAAGAAGAAGCCCAAAGATTTTTGAGTAACAGGAAGAATAGAATTGTCATTTATGGAGGTAAGGAAGACAGGAAGAGCAAGAGTTTGGTTTTGAACGGTTGCATTTGAACAGCCTGTTAGCTTTCCAGCTGAAGCTATCCAGTAGGCAGTTGGAGGTATGAATTTGGAGTTCAAGGGAGAGGCCCCGCCTGGAGATATAAATTTGGAGTCAGTTAGTATATAGTATTATAAACATAATTTTTCCTTTATTTATGATTGCTTCCCTTTTTTTAATGGAAGTTTCAAATATTTATAGAAGTTGAGAAAACTGTATAATGAACCTCCGTGTACTTTTATCAACCAGCATCAACAATTATCAACTAATAGCCAATCTAGTTTCACATGTATTATCCCCCCTTGCGACTCAACATTTAAAGTTTGGGATGATAAAGAAGATCCCCAGCAAAGGCAATTGAGAAGCAGCAGCTCTTATCACTTATCACTGATATCTTATCAAATATCTTATCTGACATTTTCATGTTTTTTAATTTGTTTACTTCTTCAGTGTCTCCTCTTACTAGAATGTAAGTTGTGAGAGCAGGGATCTTAACTGTTTCATTAAGCCCCGCATCCACAGCACTGTTTCCTATGTGCCAGGCACATACAAAAGTCCCCACACAGAATAGTTAGGAATATATATGTTTAAACAAGAACTGAAAAGGATTTAGAGTGAGGGGAGGTCATTTGGGGTGATAGGAATGGTATATGTGGAGCTGCTGAGGCAGGAAAGGGCACGGCTTGTTTGGAACTAGGCAAAGTGCACTGTGGCCAGAGCAGGACCCTAGAGAGAGTGTTGTCTGAGATAAGACAAGAGTGGTAGGAGAATTAAGGATGTGCCAGACATTTTACATATTCCTTTCCAATCCTCACTACAGTCCTGCAAAGTAGATACTGTCATCCGCATTTTAGAAATTTGGGAATTAGAACTCAGAAGCTTAATATCTTGCCCAGGCTCACATATTTGCACCCAGCTGCACCACAATCCAAAGCCCATGCTTTTCCAGGCGTTTCATGTTGCCTCTTTGTCACCTGTTAACATTTGCTTTATAAAAGAAAGAATGCAGTGTGTTGGTTGTACTGTGTCCATTTTGACAAGAATTGGCCTCAGAGGCAATTTAGACATTTCTTCTGGCTCATTAAAATGGGGCTGTTTTGGTAGTTATTTCTTCTAAGAAAGGCAATTTGTCCAGCTCAAAATTTAGGAGACAAAAAAGAACAAAGTGTTTATACCTGAAGTTGCTAGCACACAGCTTGGTTGATTTCCATTCATTGTACCCGTGCTTTTTTGGTATCATTTACCCTAAATGTTTGCATGGCTTGCCCCCTAATTCAGGTTTCTGCTCAAATGCCACTGCCTCAGACTACCCTCTGTGTTTTAAAGATCCCCTCCATCACTGGTTCCTTACCCTACTTTTTCGTCTTCATAGCCATTTTTACCATCTGACTTATTTTTTAATCAATTTATTCGTTTACTTCCTATCTCTCCCCACTGGAATGTAAACTCTAAGAAAGCAGAGACTTTTTCTGTTTCATTCACTGCTATATCCCCAGTGTCTAGAACAGTGCCTGCTAAATAAATATTTATTGAATGATGAGTGACTGGGCAACTGGGCCCGTGCTCATTTGCATCATTGATTAGCTTTGAGTTTACTTCAAGTAGTAATCAAAAGACTTGGACATTGTTGTTTCTCCCTTGCTCACTTCCTAGGAGATAGTTAACTGAAAAGAATCTGCTCCACTGTTGCAACCAGACCAGATGCCTTCTTCCACTTCACCAGACCAAGGAGAGGACCTGGAGACCTGTGTTTTAAGATTTTCAGACCTGGATTTGAAAGACACAAGTCTCGTCAATCCCAGTAGCAGTCTCAAAGCAGAGCTAGATGTCAATATAAAGAAGAAATACTCATTCGCAAAGAAAAAGGTAAAATTGCTGTTGGTGTTTTGGGATCATGCATGTGTAGTTAATGCAGATAGATCAAGAAGTAGCTTATCAAGGTTGCCCTCCAGGGAATGGAGGGCTAGCGAGACACTAAGCTGCTGCCATGCTCAAGGTAAGGCCTAGTTAGGACCATTACTAGTTATCTTAATTCAGTGCCAGGCAAAGGAGAATCATAGGCAGGGTGTGGCTCAGGAACATTTACGGAGGAGCACTTGAGGACAGATCCTAGACAGATGGGCTGAGTTCCTTTCCCCACCTAGGGTGACGGGAGGAATCCCAGAAACCCAGGAGACCTAGTCATAAGGAGAATAGACAGGTAGTAGGGCAACTGCTATCTGAGACTTGTGATCTGGTCCCGCTGGTATAAAGCTTATTATAAAAAGTGTTACTCTCATAGGAAGTTCTTCTACAGAATAGTAGAACGTAAAACTGAAGACCCCTGTGGAAAGATAATAAAAGGGATTTTACTGAGACTTCCATTAGCCTTAAACCCAAGGTTATTTAACAGTGACATTTGCATGTAATTGCAGGCATTTGCCCTTTTTGTCAAAACCAAAGAAGTTCCAGCATCTTCTTTTGAATGTAAAGAAAAATGGTGGAAATGCTGTCAGCAGCTCTTCACAGCCCAGACCAGCATCCATAGACATGTGGCAACACAACATGCTGATGAGATTTGCCACCAGACTGCTTCTATTTTAAAGCAACTGACAGTGACATTGAGCTCCTCAAAGAGTCTTAAGTCTGCAAACAAAAGGAATCCCCTAATAGAGTACCTCACTCGAAACCATGACATGTCTGCTTGGCTCCCTGATATAAGCTGCTTTAGCCCTGATGAGCTGATAAGGTAAGAATTTCATTCTGTACTTTTGGTTTAATTTTAAAAATGTTTTTCCAGCCACTGTGAGCCATCACTACCCATCCACTAAAATGTCAAGATCCTAAAGGCACAGAATTTCTCTACCAGCCTAAGCTAGGCTGATAAACATGTACTACATATAATAGAAGATCATAGTCTGTGTAGTACCATGTACCCACACAGCTGGCAGTGTTGCTAGGTTTCTCAGAAGCCGTCATACATCTTATAGGAAATGGTAAAGAATAGAAAATTGTATTATTTTCAAAGAGAAGTGGAAATACCCAGAAATATTAATGATTCCTCTACCCTGAATGATGTCAGAGCTTAAAAAAGGGGTTTTGTTACCAAATGTGGTTTTCTGAGCTGAATATGTTTTAGAAAGGATGTTAACTTTTAGAACTGAGGCAAAGAATTGGAAATTTAGATTTTGCTTTTGAAAAACTTGCCAAAGCGTAAAAAAATATTACAGAATTCTACAGGACAGATTTCTGATTTTAAGCAATTCCTGAACTATTTGGTAAATAGAAAATGTCCAAGTTTGATTCACTTTTATCACCAGTATTTAGTGCCAAGTTCCCTTTGTCTATCAGATAGAAGAGAAGAAAGAGAATTGAACTTGGAGTCAGACTTGAGCTAGTTACTAAAATTTTTTGTACCTTCATTCCCTGACTTCTAAAATTGGAATGATAACGCCTGCCCTGCCTATCTCACAGTATTGCTGTATGAATTATATAAAATGATGGTAAGAGCACTTGCGAACTATAAAGTGCTATACAAATGTGGCCTTGTCATTTCTGTATGCCCCTGCACTTCAGGGAATTTTCTTTTAGTTAGAGAAATAAATAAAAAAAAACATGAAACAATGAGCAGATGATGTGAGACAGGCTATATAATTATCAGTTAAATTGTAAGGTTCAGATAATAATTTGTTACAGGCGTTTAGAGAAAGGAAAAGAGGCTTTAAAATAGAGAAGAAGGTTTTGGAGGAGGGTAGGCCCTGAAATATGATGAGAGGGTATTGATGAGAGTTATAGATTCCAGAACTAGATGGGACCTTAATTATTATCTACTATAGCCTTGTCTAAAATATGTATGTGCAACATTAGTTGTGGAAGATGCTATCAAGTGTTGAAAAGATGTACTAAAGACAGATTTGGGAGGCATTGGGTTAAAATTTTTTGCAGGACTTCTCAGAGCCTTCAGGCTTTCACCGTGACTCAAAGAGGGAAATACTGTTTGCGGGATTTCTCAAACATGTGATTTCATAGAACAGCTTCAGAGCACACTTTGGGAAATGCAGCTTATTTCAGGTCTCCAGTTTTACAGATGAGGAAATCAAGGCTCAGAGATGTTAAGAGACCCACCCAGGCGCCACAACTAGTTAAGAAAAGACAGCACAGTGCAGTAGAAAGAGTATAGGTTCTAGTGGTAGAAGACTGGTGTTCAAGTCCTGACTGTCACTTGGTAGCTGTCTCACCTGGGAGGAATTGGCCTCAGTTTACTCAGCTACAAGGTGCAGATGTTGTCTTCTTTGGAGCGAAGGCAGACAGGAGTTCCTTCTCATTTTAGGAGAACAGTAGTGGGTGCAAAGGCAGGCAGAGTTGCTCCATCTTGGCCTTCCCTCTGACTCTGCTTAGGTATCCTTTATGAATTGTGGCCTCCTTATGCCAGTGATTCAGCTGTTTCTTCTCTGTGGTTTTACAGTGGCCAGGACAGTGACAAAGGAGAAGTGCTACTTTATTACTGCTACCGGGACCTGGAGGACCCCCACTGGGTCTGTGCCTGGCAGACAGCTCTGTGTCAGCACCTGCACCTCACAGGCAAGGTAACACCTCCAACACCCCGTCCTTCACTGGACTTGTCTGACCTCCAGCTTGGACCGCAGAGGCTGTGCTTGTTACAGAAACATTCACTGTTGGGTTCTTAGCAATTAGCAAAATCCTGCTAGGCATTTAAGTAGAATTCTAAATAACTATTAACATGATGTTTTAGAGGAACATTTAATGGCATAGGCCCTGGGTCAGCAAACTTTTTCTTAACGAGCTAATTAGTAAATATTTTAGGCTTTGCATAAAAAACTACCGTATTTGCCGGCGTATAAGATGATTTTTTGGCCCTGAAAAATATGCCTCCAAGTGGGGGGTCGTCTTATACGCCAGGTACACTTCAGATAGACTGCCCATAGTGCTTGCCCCGTGCCATA